GTATTATAATCATATCTGGTTTTCTGGACATTTCCCACATAACTGGCGTGATTCGGTGGTAGTTCCAATTTTGAAAAACGGAAATGAGAAGCGTTCACCGACCAACTATATGTCACGCCCTATGTTTCTTATTAGGTGTTTAAGTAAAATAATAGAACGGATGATTAATAGAAGACTAATGTGGACAATAGAGAATTACAATTTGATCAGGGGCTCAACTTGCCAAGAGGAGTTAAACCACTATCTTTTGCGAAACCACCATAAAATCCAAATTACAGGACGCTGTTAATAGAATGAACAACTGGTCTCTCTCCATTGATCTGCGATTTTCCCCCGAGAAAACTAAATGCTTACATTCCAGTACGAAAAGAAATATCCTTAACTCACCCGAAATCTACCTAGGTAATTCCTCAATCCTCTAATCTATACTCCAAACCAGCATAGATTCTTAGGTATGACTTTTGACGAAAAACTGAAAGGGAAATTACACACTCCTACACTAAAAACAGCCACCACAAAAAGATTAGCTTCATTAAGATATCTAAGCAATCTAGGGCTCGGACAGACTTACGCTGCTAAAACTATATCTTGTTTTAATATGCTTCAAATTATATTATGGGTGCTTTGTGCGGACCCTGAATAAAGTTGATGCAGTCCATCATACAGGCAAAAATGTAATAATAGCCTTTATACAACAATGTAATAATAGCCGGCAACTTTAATACCAATTTATCCTCCGACTCCCCTCACAAATCATACCTTATAGATCTAATCCATTATCTTGACCTATTTATCGTTCCTTTTCAACCTACTCATCATACCCAGTTCTCGACACATGGCTCGACCTTTTTCTAATTGACTCCCCTCAAAACTTATTATCCTCCGCTCAGAACTGTTTCCTTCCTTTCACAGCATGATCTCATCAAGATTCCCTATAACGTCCCGACTCCTACGTTCACTCCCAGGCAAATTACATGGCGAAACCTTGGCTCATTAACCTCTGAAAAGTTGAGTGTCTATCCTGGAATCTTCTCTTATTCCTAAATCAGTACGCCTCCTTAAAGACCTCGATCTATAGACCCCCTGTAGCTCTCTGGATTAATCCAGAAATAAGAGAGTTGATGAAAATAAGAGATGCTGCAAGGAGGCGTTTTAAACGAAGACGTAATCCGAATGACTACTTCTCTTTTAAGACTCTTCGAAACCTAACCTAATCTTCCTTGTGACGTGCTAAGGCACAATTCTTTGATACTTCCTTATCACAAACCTCAGATCCTCACCTCCAAGATTCTGGAAGCCGTAAATCATAAAATCCTCCTTACCAAACTCCAAAACTCAACCATATCAAATAGTGTTCTAAGTGGTTCCATTATTTTTTGTATTAAAGATCCTACAGTCATCATTCCCAATAAAACTCCTTCCTCTCCCTTCTTACTAACTCATGATGTTCCTCAGGGATCTTCGTTCTCCCCAACTCTTTTCTCCATCTACATTAATGACCTTCCTGATTCCATTCATCACTCACAACACCATTTATATGCAGACGATCTCCAAATCTACCTTTCTTTCTACCAAGACGCTTGAGGCGATCCAAAGGCTACAAGACGTCAACAGTACTAATACCTGGGCAGCGAACAATGCTTCAAAATTGAATGTTGAGAAGACCAAAGCCATTCTCACCATAGCATCTGATTAACCTCATTTCTTATTATCCTCTACTCTACCTCAATGTGATATCCATACATTTCCACACTTCCATAAGAAACCTTGGAGTAATGTTTGATCAATATCTATCCTGGAATAATCACATTTACCAAATTATCCGAAAGTCTATTGTTACCCTCAAACAGTTCCTGAGATTCCTCTTAAAATCCGTCAGCTCCTAGTTTCCTCTCTCATTTTCCCTCACTTTGAGTATGGCTGCCTTGAATACGGTGGACTGTCTTGTGGGCTTGATATCAGATTAAAGAAACTAATGAATTGTTTCATTAGATTTATATTTGAGTCCCCAGGCGCCCCCACGTCTCCAGTTACTATATCGAGTTGAAGTTGCTCTACCCAGTTTTCCAATGGCAATATTTCCTAGGTGTATTCTTTACAACCAAAAAACCTTCTTATATATTTATATCTCACAGAAACGACCTAACGCCTATAAAACTTATTTTCGACTCGGAACGTTTTTTCATTATATCAACCTGGAGCACTTCACCTGCTCTTAACCCAACTTGACAACTTCAGGGTAGATATTGCTGGTAAGGTGGATGGGGACTGGAATACTAAAGAAGAATGGCCACACCATATACTACAGCTACATGAAAGGTTGCAGCACTTTAGCACTGGCCTCCTGGTTGGCAGAATAGCTTCTCAGTTAATATTTGGTTTTGAGCCGATCAACCCCAGAATCTGTTACCTACACATGAAAGGCAATTTCTACAATTACAGCCTATGAAGTATCCATACATTACAATGGAAAATAAGTTTAATAACTCATTGTCCTACAATCCATAATCATTTATAGGTTAAATATTCAAATCTCTTTAGGCATATATGAACCTTTCGGATGTCAGGATGACTAACTAAAATTTCAACATTCATTATTAATAATTTAGTGATGTTTATATTGGCAAAATTTATACCTTTATTCACAGTTCTATATTTCAACATTGCAATCACCTAATCTGGAATCAACTTGCTCACTGTCTGTATAGATATAACTTTTCCAACTTGAAATATCACTATAATGACATTACTCAAAAATTTTTAAATTGGAGTTAGTCATTCTGTCAACTGAAAGTCTCAGAGACTGTAAGACCAAATTGGACAATGGTTGCTAATACCAAACCTAATATCTTCAAGATGATGCTGTTTATAACATTAACAATATAAGGCTGACTGACCATAGAAAGCGGAAATGAGCGAAGCTGATTCAACTTCCAAAACCGAATAAAAGGTTTTTAAAATTGGTAAATGGTTGACTGTAATGGATAATGAAGAGAAGAATAGTTGGGGTGGTCAGTCAAAAAAAGGTTTTTAATGAAAGGAAAGCCACCACCACCAGATCCGGAGCAGAGCACTGTTGAGCGGTGTCATAAAGATCAACTCTACTCCGCTTTGACTCGACCAAGATTCAGTTTTGAACCTATGCTCTACTTCCCCCACCACTAATATGAATATTAGAAAGATATCGATGCAAGGCAAGTAGCTGACTGAGCTGGGGTCCACTACGCGATTGGTTGTTGACCCACTCTGACTTCAATCCGCACAGCTCAACTCCACTTTCAGCGGCCGGTCAGCCAAAAAGTGCCATATTGCTATATCATCTAAAAGTCTGGACACTAAGCATTTACAAATTAATGTTTTAACATTAGTAAAACTTGAATAGCTATACTATGCAAACAAAAGTGATTTGGAATAATATAAGAGTCTAAATTACAAATTACAGAAAAACAAAGTGTACTATGAAAAGTTTCCAATTAGCATATTCTTTCAAACTTCATATTTAGCCATTTTTCATAGTTACTGTCAATAAAAGTGTGTTATTTTTTTAAAATAAACTATATTAAAGATACTTTAGAGGAAGACGTTTACAAAAAATGGGCATTTAAGTCCTGTAACATGACATCAATGGGGATAAGACCGAATGATATTAAAGACCACTGAATTATACACTGCTTTACCAAGTTTAATGAAAATCGTTAGAGACGTTTTTGAGAAAATTGTAAAAATGATTTTCACCATTGATATAAAGAGGCACTCCCGGTTAGCTGATTTTAAGGAAAAAGTTGCAGTAACATCGAAGGCATATACTTATCTTAAATAAGTAAGATCAGTTTTATACAACATTTTGTTCAAAGTCGCTTTTGCTAGACTGTTCACACCCACCCACGCATGCACACACACACACACATACAAACTCAAACACACACACACATACACCATTTTGCAGGACTTGGTTATTTGGACTAAGGAGACTTCAAAACATGTTTTTTTGTTGATAAATTAGATTCGAAAATTTTCATGATCACAATACTTACCCTTAATATATATTTCAAATATAGGTAAGTGAAAGTAAAAATATTAAGAACATTAATACAAAATGAAGATGGATAAAATAAGAAAGATCAATCCAAGTAAAATGGAGCAAATGCATAAGGATTAAAAAATATCTTAGAAATAAAAAGTAATGTAATATAGCAATAAATGTATAATCTTGGAAAAATAAAATTTACTAAATATTAAAACAAAATGTAAGTAGTGAAACTGATGCCTTGCAACATAAGCAGCTGCATTACAAATTCTCATAAAAATTGTGTGGTATATTAATAATTTTAATTAGTGAGATAAAAAAATAACTTATTCTTCCTTTTATTTATATTGTAGTGTGATGGAAAACTTATTACATGTAAATTACCAATTTAATAAATTTCTTTTTAAATTTATCCAATGACCTGAAACTGATTCTTATGAAGGGTCATTTACTGAATACAGAAAATGCAATAAATTAATAAAATTTGTTTAAGTATATATTTACCCAAATACAAAAATGTTTAGAAATTATTTATCTTTATCAAAGTGAAATAACCATTACAAAATATAGAATTTACTAAAACTAATCTATAAAATTGAAACTTCTCACAACCAAGGGTATTAAATTCTTATAATTTTTTGTTCAACTAAAAATAAACATTTAGAAGATGTACAAACATTAAGTTTAGAAGTATACATTTAAATTTTGAAACTTAAACAGCAGCTTAAAACACCTCAAAATAAAAAAAAATATCACAGCCATCTTTCATGTCACGTAATTATAAAATCAGATTCTCTCTTTTAAATGTTTGCATAACTAACATGTTTTATAACTAAAAAGGAACATCCTTGAGTTAAAACATACAAAACGAACAAAATATTTCAAACTTGAAATGATTCAAATATATCAATAATTCACTAGGATTTTAAAGCTAATCAGCCTTCTGATATGAAATATAAAAAAATACAAGATATTATTTAGTAATAGAGACAGCAAGTTTTCCAGCAATTGAACTTTCATCATAGTTTAGACGCAATTCCTCACATAATTTACGACAAATACACCTCTCATTATAAGTAAGCCCACCAGGGAGTTGTATTTTATTTGTACTGTTTGTAGCAAATTCCTTTAATTGACTTTTCAATAACTTTTCAAATTCACTTTCCTAGAAAAACAAATTTAATTAAATACATTTATGATACTATTAAAATATGAAAGTAAATGTAAAACTATCTCAGAATAACTCACAGGCTTCAATTCTTCTTCTTTAGGTTTAATATTTTTATATCCAAAAACCTTTTGGTATGCCAATTTTTCATGTTGATAATACGCTTTCTTTTTCTCTTCAAGCTAAAATATTAAACATCAATTGGATTTTTTTTTTTTTTTTTTATATATATTTTAAACATCAATCTTTAATGAAAAACAATTTTTAAAAAATCTAATTTTCATAAGATATTAGTTGGTTCTATAACTGTTCGAGCAAATTAAATAATTTATTTTTTAAAACTTATATTAAGCTTAAACTAAAATTAATTTTATCAACGTTCAATAATAATATCTTTTGATTCATTAAGATTTTCTATAACATGTGTCTATGTGTATGAACAGCCTAGCTCAAAAACAAAAAGTTGCACGAAACTCAAATTACATATTTAAGATATATATATGGCAGGGATGTTAGACACTTTTTTCTTAAAACGAGCAAACCAGAAGTACCACTTCATATTATTGATATTTCATATTTTACAATTTATTAATGTTTCACTATTTTCTTGAAGATGGCACTTACGATTTCAATTAAACTCGTTAAATCAATATCAGGTGGTTGTATTCATTTATACTGTAATAGGGTTTAAATCCTGAACTTTCAAAATTTCTACTTCTAAAGTGCCTTTATCTATGTTTTATTTAAAATAGTTTTAGGATAGAAGAAGGGATCCTGGAAGAAATCCAGTGGGTAAAACCCATTAATAGTATTACCATCGTGGAAGTTGTTGTTTGGAATTACAAGAGAGAGGATCTCCGAGGGAGCTTGAGTTGATTAGAAGAAAGTGTCACCATTTTGGAAGTTGTGTTTTGGCAAAAGATTGGAAAGCATTAGAAGACAAATGAATTTAGTGTAACAAAGGAAGAAACAGTATCTATAAAAAAAAATAACTTGAAAATTCATACTTGACTTTATTTTAAAACCAGTGTTTAGATCTGATTGTTAGTAACCCATACCTGAGATAAAATAATTATAAATTTCAATTCAACACATTAATAATCTTATAATTTTGTTTATTATTTAATAACCTTTTATTTATTTAGAAAGTATCCCATATAAAGTGATCTTCCACGAGGTTAATTACTAGCTTAAAATAAGAGAAATGTACTAATATCTAATTATTTTAATTAGATATTATTTTGTAAATATTTAATTTAATGTATGGCTTCACAGGTAATTTTCTCTGTATTTTTAATTTGATCTAAAGGAACAAAAATCTCAGGATAATAAAAATATTTTCATTTCATTTTATTATTTTTATCAAGATAGATGTGGAGATGAATTATAGTTGACTATGTGAAGGTTATGCTTGTTGATAGATAGGATTTTTAGTCAAACTTTTACTGCGCATGACGACATTTTGATTCAAGTTTATGGCTCATCATCAGGACTAAAATTAAATCAGAAATGTTAGATAATAAAATAAATATAAAACCTAATGAAAGTGTGAGAAAGTTATGAAAATAGTTAAACATTTCACATTACAACTAGAAATAAAAAAATGATAAATATAAACTATGAACAAATTTGATAATTAACTAAAGGAGAGAGGAACTAATAATTTGGTAACAACCAAGGCCCGACTTTTCCTGATTCTTCCTTCTCCATTTAAACTACTCACGTACATATACGGCTTTTCTATTGTTATTGTTAGTTTAACTGTTTACATATTTTGCTCACACACCATTCCCAAAAAAGATTTTCACATGTAATGTCGAGGATCTAATAATATATTTATAATCTTTAATTTTATTTATTTTTTTCTGTTGGCATTAGACCTCATAGATCTTTTATGGGTTTTATCAGCCTGCCCGATCTCTGCCTATCTGGGGCTATTTTTTTTTCCAGTTATCTGCATGCAACTCTATTGCTACATTGTGGATTCAATCTATCCATCTGCTTTTTGGTCTTCAACCTGGTCTTTTTCATACTATTGAGGTATTAGCTATTACATACAGGGTGCCTCAGTTCTTAAAGGCCAAACTCTGTAGACAAAATTTCCAAAAAAAATGTTTATTTGATGCACTGGCCCAATCTGAACGGAAAAGGAGCTAAGATCAATTTCTTGTTTTTCTGAAGCTTCAAGATAATTAAATATTAAGTGCGCCATTGTAAAGTAGACAAAACTTTCTTTGAGAAAACAGTGATTAAATTCACTAAGGTCATTGATAAAAGAGACTTTCAGGAAGTCTAATAATGCAATCCCTACTGTTACCTAGAATCGGGATTATTGAGATATGCTGCTCGGGTAAGTGTACTGTAACTACAGCAGTACAGCAGCCGTATCAGAACTCCTGAATGTCACTTTTATCTTTGACTTTAGTAAATTTTATCACTATTATTTAAAAAAAATGTTGTCTATTTTACGATAGTACACTTAGAACTTAATTATCTTAAACAGTTTTTGAGCGATTCCTTCTTATCCAATAATAACCCTGAACACCTTAACAAACACAAATAATTGGTCCTAACTCCTTAATCGTAAAACAGATCTCATGAAACACTGAAATATGGATTAACCCCTAAGGGGGTTGTCCACATGGAGGGCTCCATTGTCCAATACTGCATTGTGTTAGGTGGTGGAATCCCTGATTGTTACACTGAATACTGCAGGCTTTTATGCACAGGGCTAACAATAGAATTTTCTTTCCGATATGTACAAGACTGCGACAGCGAGTCTTGTGAGATGGTGTCAGTCCAATGGACTGAGTATCAATACAGCTAACACAAATGTGTTCATCTTTACCATGAAGAAAAATGTGGCAATAAAGCTATTGGATAGCTTATGGCAATCAATGGTAAATAATCAATGGCATCCAACTAATCTCTAGCAAGGAGGTTAAGCAATTGAGTGTTACGCTGGACAATAAAATTCAATGGAACAGTCATATGAAAAACACAACCAATAAAGCACTCAAATGCCTATGAGCTTGCAAAAATGCAGTAGAGAAATCATGGGTACTTAAACCATGAATGGTCTACTTACCGGTTGTATGTTACAGCAATTAGATCTATGATTTTATATTCAACTGTTGTCTGGTGGCAAAGAGCAAGATTTTGTCACAATAGGATACAGCTGGAAAACTACAAAGATTAGCCTGTCTAATGATAACAAAGGCAATGAAAACCATTCCAACTGCAGCTCTTAATGTTAGGTTTATATCCCATGCAGCTGGGGATAGAAATGCAAGCCTTAAAAATATTCTATGGACTACATAAACTAAATTTATGTTCGAAGTTAAATACTCTTGAGGGACATTGGGAAATATTTCAGAGTTCAGGAATACGGGGTGCTTGCTCTAATCTCACACTTTCATTAGGTTTTATATTTATTTTATTATCTAACATATCTGATTTAATTTTAGTCCTGATGATGAGCCATAATCTTGAATCAAAATGTTGTCATGCACAGTAAAAGTTTGACTAAAAATCCTGACTAGCAACAAGCATAACCTTCACACAGTCAACTATAATTCATCTCCACATCTATCTTGATATAAATAACAAAATTAAATGAAAATATTTTTATTATCCTGAGATTTTTGTTCCTTTAGATCAAATTAAAAATACAGAGAAAATTACCTGTGAAGCCATACATTAAATTAAATATTTACAAAATAATATCTAATTAAAATAATTAGATATTAGTACATTTCTCTTATTTTAAGCTAGTAATTAATCTCGTGGAAGATCACTTTATGTGGGATACTTTCTAAATAAATAAAAGGTTATTAAATAATAAACAAAATTATAAGAGTATTAATATGTTGAATTGAAATTTATAATTATTTTATCTCAGGTATGGGTTAGGGTTACTAACAATCAGATCAAAACACTCAGACAAACTATTATTATTTACACTATTTATACTAAAATTAAACACTGGTTTTAAAATAAAGTCAAGTATGAATTTTCAAGTTATTTTATTTTTTTTTTTGTATAGATACTGTTTCTTCCTTTGTTACACTAAATTCATTTGTCTTCTAATGCTTTCCAATCTTTTGCCAAAAAACAACTTTCAAAATGGTGACACTTTCTTCTAATCAACTCAAGCTCCCTCGGAGATCCTCTCTCTTGTAATTCCAAACAACTAGTGACTCTGTCAAACAACAACTTCCACGATGGTAATACTGTTAATGGGTTTTACCCACTGGATTTCTTCCAGGATCCCTTCTATCCTCTCTCTACTGCAGCCAAGCAATAACTGCTTGCCAAAACAAAATGTCCGTTCCCTCTCATCTTAGGGATTTTCCTTTTTTCGGAAACTACAGAGTAGCCATTTTCTTTTCCCTGAACTAGTGAAACTAGATTAGCTTGCTTTTTAACTGTTACATTAATTTATTAAATCCTTTTTAACAACTTTCAATTCAGGTGTATATTACATTTCTCCCCACTTCCGGGTAAAAAAAAATATTGTAAGTAAAAAATTTTTTTTTCTTAAATTAAATTCAAGTGAATACTGAAACATCTGCACATTGTGCATTCAATACAAACAAAAAAAATTTAAATATTGCCTCGGAGTTACATCTTAACTATTTATTTTATTCTATTTACTTATTTTATTATTTTCTTAAAGAATTATTCACATGAGATATTTATTACACATACCAATAAATTACAGTAACATGAATACTAAAATTAAATTGAAGATCATACCTTAATTTTAAACTAATTTACACAATAAACTACATACAGTAATTACATATAATATAGTATACTTGTTCATATAATTCATGCTCAAGAAAAATAAGTAAAGTAGATTGATATATAAGTGATAAAATAAGCTAAATACATTATTTACAAAAAAAAAATTACAGTATAATTTCCATATCTTATATACAATCAACTTTTATCATAGAAGGAGGTCATCAGGAGTAATATGGTAAAAGAAGAAATGATTGGGATAAAGGAGGGAAGAATGGGAGCTGGAGCTGGCACTACGAAAGAGGAATGGGAGGGAGAGGAGACAACGTGAGTATTGAGTATGTATATATATACATCATTAAAAACTTACCACAGCTAATAAGTCATTAGTGTTCTTATTTTGAGGTTCCAAAGAGAGTGCTTTTTTCAAATTTTTACTAGCTTTATCAAATTCATTTAATTCAATAAATGCTTTCCCTAAACTAAAAAAAAATAAATTTTGGATTAGGTTACACACAAAAAGTTTATATATACTTAATCTCAACATTTATGATTTCCACTAAGAAATTTTTCAAACCAAAGTTGCATCTGTCAATTGCAAACTTAACTCTCAACATAACTAATCTATCTTTCTAAAATCTGTTGATGTCTACCTTTTAATTTAAATCAAAAGTGTATTGACTGATTGTGGGATATAAATCCATTAACTTCATGGTGTAAACAAAAAATGTTAAATACTTTTATAAAAAATTGTATTTAAAATTCTCCCTTTCCCTCTCCCTCTCTCTCTCCCTCCCAAATAAACCATATTACAGGTACTTTAGAGGAAGACGCATAGGAACATTGGGCATTTAAGTCATCTAAAGTGACATCAAAGGGGATAAGACCTAAATGATATTAAAGACCACTTAATTATACAATGATACACCGAGTTTAATCAAAATTGTTTGAGCCCTTTTTCAGAAAAATGTGTTTCAGCGTTGATATAAAGTGGCACTTCCGGTTAGCCGATTTTAAGGAAAAAGTTGCCAGAACATCTAAGCCAACTATCTATCTTAAATATGTAATATCAGTTTCGTAGGACTTATCGATTTCGAGCTAGAGTGTTCACATATATACAGACCATTTTTCGGGACTTGGTTATTTTGACTCAGGAGACCTCAAAACGTATATTTCCGTTGAAAACTCAAATTAAAAAATTTTCATGATTGCAATACTTACACTTACAATATATTACATATATAGGTATGGGAAAGTAAAAATAATGATAATGATTGCAGAGAAATCTTACATTGAGGCTGAATGATATAAATAATAATATTAATAAAGAGTAATTAGTTAAATTTAAAATATGGCTAACAATTATTGTAATTATGACTACTTAACAATGATAAAGTAATAATAGTAATATAAAAGTATAATAATAATTATTGTAGTAAAATCTTACATCGAGTTGAATGGTATTAAATAATACCAATAAGGTGTAATTACTTTATAACTTATTACTTTATCTTTTACTGTCATACCAAAATCATATTTTGGAGGGTCATCATTATCGTCAAGATTCTGCATAAAGTTATCGAATGTTATGTGATTTTTGAGATAAGAATTTGCAATAATCAGACCATTATCAAGATTAGTTTAGTTAACTATTCTATCTTTTTCATTCATTACTTTTGATATTTACTACATTTTCATTAAAAGATCTAAATTTAATAAAAATGTTTTAATGATCGTGATTGTTAATGGGGATCAAGTGATTATGAATCCTTATCATCTTGGCCTGATAGTCGATATTTATTTTCTGGTTTTCTAGAAAATCATTTCCTAAAATTCCATTGTGTTGACTAAAATAAATTAATAAAATTAAAATAAATTCTTTTTGAATTTATTTTATGAATCTTAGGGTCTAGTGCCAGAGACCCAATTTTCAGTTCTATTTTACTCAACCTCAGTGTTTTAATTGGTGAGTCAGGATTTATTCCATTAATAATAGCAGTTTTATTTGGGTTTATTCCTGTTATTTTCAGATTTAATGAGTCGTGTTTAATAAGAGAATACCTGTATCTATTAGAAACGTTAATTTTCCTTTCATAGAATTAGGGCTTCGAAAAGCAATAGTTTGTGGTCCGTTTAAATTTCTAATTTAGTGTTGATTGCCGCTGCTAGTTTCTCATACTCGCAACATGGCATTGTTCAATGGAGGGTTTTGGTTTTAAATGATTTACTTTAGGATTTTGATTTATGTATTTCCTTTTTCTATATTCATCAATTGCGTGGCCCGAATTTTTACAATATCTACAAGATCCTGGTTTGTTCATGATGACCACGGGATTGATATTGTTGATTTGAATCATACTGATGTCCTCTGCCTATTCTGTAACATTGATCGGTCGAATGGTTATAGTTTTTACAATAGAAGCTCTGTGAATTTTGATGTCAGGTATAATTTAGAACCTTTTTCTATTTCGGTTATGCGATTATAAGAATGACCACCTACCTGAGATGTTCAGTAGGAGGACCTGTAAGAAATATTCAAATAACTTCCAATCTCAATTTATGACGAGATCTTTCAGGGGGCGTGCTGATTTAGGAATAGGAGAAGTTTTAAGGATAGACACTCCACCATTTCATCATTAGAGGGATAGAAATAAATCGGATCTAAGGATTGGACTAGTCATTCGAGGAAAGAATTTTTAGTTTTTCAGAAGTCAATGAGCCAAGATCCCGCCATGTAATTTGCATTTGCCCGGGAGAGAACTTAGGAGTCGGGGCATTATAGGAAACCTTGATGAGATCATGATTTGAAAGAAAGGAAACGGTGTTCTGAGCAGAGGATAATAACTTTTGAGGAGAATCAATTAGAAAAAGGTCAAGCCATGTGCTCAAGAACTGGGTATGGCGAGTAGGTTGAAAAGGAATGATAAATAGGTCAAGAGAATGGATTACATCTATAAGGTATGTTTTGTCAGGAGAGTCGGAGGATAAATTGGTATTAATGGCTATTATTACATTGTTGTATAAAGGAATATAGATAAAAAGAGAGGATTCAAAGGTAGGATCAAAGTGGACATGGAGAGGGTGATATGTAATGACATAAAGGAGGGAAAAGGAATTTAAGAAAATTTCTACAAATAAATACTCTAAGTGAGAAAAGTCGGGAGAGTGAGATTTGTGCAGGATTTTTGTCCTCAGACTCTCATGAACATAAAGGCTAACACCACCACCTGTTCGATCATGACAGAAAAAGTCATAGTTAGGAATGGATATAGAGGAGGAGGGAATATTAGGTTTGAGCCAGGTTTCCGAAACGGCAATAATATGATAAAAATTATGAAGGAAATAATCTTGGAATTCATCAAAGTGAGCAGGAAGGGATTGGGAGTTAGCATGGCACGTTAATAGGATATTAGTCATATAAGGATAGAGAAGGATATACTTCTTCGAAAGTTTGAAAAGGAAAGGGATTAATGAATTTGAGTTTCCACTATAAAATGCAGTAAAACGGAGAAAAATGAAATAAATGATGGTGACATTTAACACAATAAATAATAATTGCAACTGAAAAAATTGAATGACTTTTCACACTAAAAAAAGCAATAAATAAAATAATAATAAAGAGATACAAAGATGTGCAAAAATGTACAAAGATGAGTAAAAACATAATCTAAAAGAACCACTCTCTGAATATTCAGACTAATAAAAGACATCAAAGAAACAAACTAATATTCTTTAGAGAAATATGAAAAAAAAAAAGACATAGTAAAGTTCTGGTGTCTATGAACAAAATATGGAGTAGAAAGGTAACTATTGGGTTTACAACATTCAAATGCAACTAGATCTTCGGCCTTGATGATTATGACCTCCAACCGTCATCTTTTCGGCATCTAGCAAATCCTCTGGAAAACCAAACGTATCTGATTCTTCTCGAGGCCCTTTTCTATATACCAGCCAGTCAAGATAGCGGTTGCTTGAGTTCATCTCTTCCCCAATGTAGATTCTCTCGTCGCTTTCTCAACCGAGATGCCTGGTGGTGAGGTCCCTTTTTATCCTTTGAAGTCATAACACCTCGTCCTGGATCGTCAGGTGAACAAATCGCACGATGATCGACAGTGGCCTGGTGTCCTCTCTTCTAGGACGCTTTCTCTCCAAAAGATCCAGGTCCCCGACATTAAGTTTGATGGCCAGGGCCGTGCCAACAGACAAAGCTATTCCCTCGGGCGTTTCCCCAGTCTTCGTGGATATGGATTAAAATATCTCAGAAACTAAAATTCGGACATGTATACTGTAGGCAATGAAACGTTCAGCATATCATCCTGTTTAAAGACTTATTCAAAATTGTATCTTAAAGCGACAAACAAAACATATTCTCAAAATGCCCCTAAACCTTAAATTGACCTATCAGAGTTGGCAGACAAGTATTTTTGTAATATCTAAAAGGAGTACAATTAGCCTGTTAGGTTGAAAATTTCCTTAAAATATTACAATCTTTTCGGCTTTAGCTCTAGGTCTAGGTAACCAGATTTGAGTGAGTTACACATTAAGAAATAAATGTAAAATATCATTTACTATTAATTACTTGAAAAATAGTTTTGCTGATTTTCCAGCTTCTTCTGTACATCCAAAAAATGCAGTTTTAGCAACACTACATACTTTTTCAGGAGCTTTAATTTTTGGATGATTGTAACAAACACATAAATTTATATACAATTTCAGCAAGAGTCCTATATACTGAATTTCTTCATCAGAATTATTTGTTTTAGTTGTTAATAGCACCTTTTCTGCTTTTTTATATCTGAAATAGATTGTAAATAGTTTGAAAAATAATGGTAAATGGTTGACTGTCATGAATAATGAAGATAATAATAGGAATATTCCTATAAAATAATAGGAACATAAAGATTTATATAAATAAAGTTTAATTACTTGTCAATAGCTGCTGAAATATTTCCTTGTCCAAAAAAATCATTTCCAAGTATTTGATAACCCTTAGCTTTTGAAAAGATTTCAGAAAATGAATCATTTTCTCCAGATAGCTCATCTGATTTATCTATGCCACTACAGTCAACAATTTTTATAAGTTCGATTTCCAGAAGTATTGTAGCATCTACAGGAAAAAAAAAAACATTAATATATGGTAATTTATAATTTTTAATTTGCCTGCAAAAAATCAAACAACTAAATTCAGTAATCACTTAAAAACGGCTCTAAATAACTAAAAAACAGATAAAATTATTAACCCAAATAAAAAATAAGAAAACAATATTCTGGATAGGATTTTAAGATTTATTTCTTGTACTACAGATGTATTAGAAAAATAAGAAACTTCAAGATCCAAGTAGATGGCTCACCTTGGCTGAATGATATTTGTATCCAATGAATCTAATTACTAAACAGTAACACACTGAAAACAAGAAATTATTAACACTCTAAATTTACAACAAAGCACTAACATGTGCACGGATAATAATTTTTTTTTTAGTCCCGAAAGAGTTCAAAATTTGCAAAACTACGAAATTACATTTTCAGTTTAAAGCTCTGTACCCTGTTTTCAGTTTGTCCAATGTCAGAATTCATGGACTCACTAAAAAGAGGAGAGTTTCTTCTTTAAACTTCTGTAGATAGCATTATTTTAAAGGTTTGTTTAAGAAAATGTGATAAGGAAATAAAAACAATATGTTAATAAACAATAAATTGAGATTATTTGCAGATAAAGTTATCTTATAAATAGCTATATAGAATGTATTATTTCTCATAAAAAATTATTTTAAATGTAAATTTCAATATTAAAAATATTTTTAAATGAATAAGCAATTCCATTTATAGATCTTATAAAATGAAATTTGAAATTCCTAATTTTGATTTCTTTTATCATGTTTTACTTAAAATTTTTTGAAAACAGATCTACAGCAAAAAAATTTTCTTCCCTTAAACTAAGAAGTTTTACTGTAATATTTAAAAAAAATTAAATAAAGGAAGTCCTACATCAACTTACTGGGTGGGATTCTGGGAGGAGCACCCAATTCACCAAAGGCATAGTCTGGATGTACGAGAAACTGTGATTTTTCACCTTCTCTCATTGTTAATAAGCTCTTTTCAAAGCCCAAATACAAATCTCCAAGTCCTAACTGCATACGAAGAGGCTTTTCATTGCGTAAATAGGAAGAGTCAAAAGGAATTTCTTCCATTTCTAAATAAGAATTATAATGAAAATAAATCACAGATTTAGGAGGTACTAAGTTATCATCACCAAATCTTAAAATCTAAAAAAATAAATAAAAATATTTAGTAAAAATTACTGAAGTATAAAATTAGTAACAGTAAATAACAATATTAATCATTAAAAAATATTAAATCAAGGATTACATAGTTTTAATAGTATAAGTATAAACATATCTGTACATGTTTATACTTAGACGTTATATTTATATGTATATATAATAAATGTAGGAGTAGTTATGTATGTAAGTTGCGGGAGTTAATGAAAAATTTTCGTTATATTCTTGTTAAAAAAACCTGTCTAAACTACCTGTTCGTGTATTTCTAAAACTAAAACTACTGTATTTTTTCTTTTGTCAGTTTCTTTTGGAGAGTTTTCTTCTCTGTTTCTTTTCTTCCTTAATGCTTTCTTTTCAGCAATTCAGTCTTCTAAACTAAATAACTTTCCATTTAAAAGTAGTTTGTCCTTCCTAATTGCTGCTATAAACCCTCTTTCTTTCTTTTCGAGAAGATACGGGAATAACTGAGCACTTATCTTTCTAGTTTCCTAAGAGAAATCTTCCTTAATAGTAATATTCTTATAATTTTCACTCTTTACAAGATTTTTCTTCACTTTGAGAATATCCTTTATTCAATAAATTGAAGAGAGTTTCGGGACAATAATCTTTGTTTTGGCAATGGTGAAAATATTTACTATAAAGTACATTCTCACCTCACTATTAAGAAAATAAAGCATTTCAAATATTTCATTCCTTTTATCAAACTTGCTATGGGACTTCAAATTAAAAAATATAAGGTTATATTTTCTTTCAAAGTTTAGTTTATTTTCAAATTTATTAACTTTGATCTTCAAATCACATATTTCCTTTCTGATATTTTCATTATTTTTATCTATTTTTTCTTCAATTACGTTAAGTTTTTCAAGTTTTATTAAGATTTCATCATTTTTTAACTCCATTGTACCATCAATTTCTGAATTACGCACAGCTGATACCCTTGAATTTAATGTTTACTTGAATGGAATGTTTATTCCCTGAGAGAGCTGTAGTGGGGGCTGGTAGGTTATAGACAAGGAGCAAGCAATTCATTAAATGGTTTAATTTACCTGTTCTTATTTTCGTCCCAAGTCTACTAATTTTCTTCAAATTTTGTATTCTTGTACTGGACACTATTATTCTTAACCATGGAAAAACTCAGTATCACTACTTCACTTAGACCACTTTAAACTAAATTTAGCACAGAGCCGATCTCCACACAGCAGCGACTACAGCCTGACTCCCTACATATAATGAGTCTATATTATACTATATTCTAATATATAGTATTTAATTTGACAGCACTCCCGACCAACTACTTTTCATATTATAATCACAGTCAACCATCTCTACAGTATTAATATCATTTTAGATTAATATTGTAGAATAAAATTAATTAATTAAAGTGAAAGCATTTTAAGAAAAGGGGATTGTATAGCTGATGAATTCAAATAGTTTTTCAAATATTAATTGGTTGAAATTTTACTAGCAACTATCCATTGTGTTTGACCAGTTTTGATCTGATATGAATTAACTTAAATTTGACCCAATTTAACTGAAATTAAAAAATAAATTAGTCAATTCAACAAATTCAAAGAATAAAGACAATAAAGCAGGCTAATCATAATGACAGTACTCAAATTAGGTAAAAACGTCATTAAAATAAAAAGAAATCCATGAACAAACTGGGATTCAGTAATAAATAATTTCTCTGTTAAAACACTAAAGTTCAACGAACATGCATCTCACCAATTTTGAAATTTTTCCATCTTCTGTAACATTCGTCATTTTTTGTTTTATATTTTCAAAGGGCGTTTTAGTAGATACCTCTTCTGTATCGCCACAACCAACACAATCTAAATTAATAAATGGGGCAAATTCATCAAACTTATAAACTTGGTCAATTCGAGCTTCCTCTGTTTCATCTACAAGAGTGTCACCAGCATCTAGTGTAAATTCAGAAGCAGACTTTTCCAATATATCCCTACAAGCATAAGATTATAAAAAAGTAAATATATTCCAGTCGTACATTCTGATTTTTTAATATATATATATATATTTTAGTATGTATATATATACAAACACACACATTAAAAAATTCAGTTTTGCCGAATGTTAAGATCGTGGTTGATCCTTAAACAAACCAAATATATATAGTTTAGAGTTAAATCTACTACCATTTTATGAAGGCTTTACTCAAAATTTTTAAGATAACAGTTCTCAAAACAAAACACTTTTATCAGGCTAAAACATTTTAAGACACTGTTGTTAAGCTAAAACATTTACACGGTACACTAGCATCCTAATTGGGTAAAAAAAATCCTAACACCATTATATTTGAAGTGGTGATGAAACAAAATCTTTACTAATTGTTGGTGCAATATAAATAAACCAAATAAAATCTTATTGTTGGTTGTTTTTAATTTTAATTACGTTATAATTGAGTATAAATTAATCAATTTTCAGAATATCTGTTCACCAAATATTATTGCCATGGTACCTCTAGCATACATTTGTGGTACCCAGGTTGTAAATCGCTGATTTAACGAATCAAAATGTTCAGTATACTAATAGCATTACCCTATTAAAAGAAAAAGTCTTAAACAAAGTTATAGTTTTCAAGTTAATTTAATTATATAATATACTTATTAAAAACTTTAAATCACCTAAGCTTATTTCAATCTCTGATTGAACATTGATTATTTCAATCAATCAATGTTTTTAATCTTTCTGCAACAGTTTTTCAAAAAACCTTTTTCAAGCAGGATAGGAATAGCATAACACTGTTTATTTATGTTTTGTTTTAAGCACTCTAGGGTCTCTATGTCTCATCCCATAATAACATAAAGGTACTTGTTCAATAGCAGGTAGTGTCGGACTGCTATCTGCCAATGTTTATAACATTAACACTGATAACTGTGATAAGCCTCTGATAATATCTTCATATTCATATTTATTGTATAGTATTGAAATTGTGAACAAAAACAAAAACAAATGTATAAATAAAAAAATACTTTTATTTTACAAGATATATAGTAAATAGACCAAAACATTATATATATTACAATATGAGTTGGCTAAAGATATTTAAAAAGAATGGTACTTAATATGTATTACAAGGAGAATATTATAGATCTTTAAATAAAATAAATAACAATAAACGATTAAATAAAGTAAATAACAGTATCAGATGAATGAACAGTACCAAAATATACTAAAACACAATACTCTAAAACAGAGGCAAAATCAAATACAAAAATTATGCGGAGAATAAACAAATGTTACAAATTAACAATTGAGTATCAAAAAAAATAAAGAATAAAATACTAAGTCTAACTTTAAAAGTATATTAAATAAAAGAGCTATGCTGGAATGTCTTATAATTTTATGCTATTAATGAATTCCATCAACTCCTTCTTGTATTTTTTGTATAGTATGGGTTAGGGAAGAGACCATGTGTCTCCTTGCGTCAAAGAGGATTTCAGGAAGGTGGCTCTTTTGTGTTCGTATAACTGGCAGTCGTTTAAAATGTGTATGAAAGTTTTTGGAGTCAGTGCGTTATAATTGCATGCGTCTGTCGCTTTTAAGTGGAATCTGTTTAGATATTGGTTAGTCAGGCCGTGTTTAGTAAGGCATTGGGTTAGTTTATAATGGGTGCTTTTTGTTGTGTTGCAGTTTTGTGGAGTGATGTTTGGAATGTATTTATGTAATGGTCGTCCTTTGGTAGATTGTTGCCAATGTCTGTTCCACTCTTCGATTTCAGTCCATAAGAGTTTTTTAACGTAAGTGAAGGGGGCTAAATTATATTCATAAGGCAGTTGAATATCATTAACAGCTATTTTTGTGTCCAAGTTCATCAGTTCGATAAAATTGTTTCTAAGTTGAGCTGTTAGTGGGTCTTGTATTTTATTGAGTAAATGGCTGTTTTATTGTCAGTATAGATGTAGTAAATAGATTCAGTTTTATCTTTTTGTCGTAAAATGTAGTCCGTTGCCTTTAGAACTGCCAGTTTTTCTGCTTGATTATTGAAGCAATTCTGTCCGAATCTGTGTAGTTCTTCATAATAGTCGCCGTCTCCTTAAATAAATGCGTCTCCTCTGTAATAAATGCGCAGCCTGTTTTGTGTTTTTGTTAACTTCCGTCCGTGTAAATGTCCACAATGTTTGTTTATAGTTCTACTGTTTCTTCCAAGTACTGTATTAGTTTGGCTTGTATTGCTGGGTGTAACCGTTGTTCTAAAGGTTGCTCTTGTCCGATGTTGTCGGGTACTATGTCTTTGTATCCCATTGTGTTTTTTAATTTTGTATATTGTAGTCAGTTCTGTGATTTTGTAACGTATTGGAAGTATACCTGCTAAGACACAAGCTGCATCATATGATAAGGTGTTAAATGCTTTACTTATCCTGATAGCCATATATATATATATATATATATATATATATATATATAATTAAAAAACATTACAAAAACATTGCAACATATATATAAAAATAAATGAAATAATAAAAATAGACAAAAATAAATGAAATAATAAAAAACCACTTAAACAGCATATGTACATATAAAAGAAACACTGTGAAGACTATAAAGAACATATGTACAAATAAAAGAAACGATATAAACACTATAAACAAAACATGAACAATTTTATTTTAACTTAATTTATTTTGGTAGGGAAAATAGTTTTATGGTATTTAAAATACACAAGGAATATAAAATAAACAAGGGAATAACTTAGGTTAGAGAAGAAAAGGGACGTTATGTGAAATGAGATTAGATAACGAGGTTTTGACACTACCCACTATTGAACAAGTACCAAAATAAATACCCCAACCATTTCAGAAAACAAAACTGGTTCATAGACTGATAAGCCAGATAAGAATGATAGAAGACATAAGATCGATAGTCCAACCAAATTAGCCAAAAAACCGCTAAACGATAAAAAAAAAAACTTTTAAAATTGTGTGCTTTAGACCACACGATAGAAGTAAAAATATCAACAAGGCAAAATTAATAATATAAAAACTTTTTTTGTTCTTTATTCACAAAGTAATAACATCTACAACATATACAATTAGAATTGTGTATAAATTATGTTTTGTTCTGCATTCACAAATTAATAATATTTACAATATATACAATTAGAATTGTGCATAAATTACTTTTATAAACTGATCGTCATTTGTATCATACTCTAAAATTGATATAATAGATTTATGATAACTAGAATATGTGATGAATACCTTTGATTGAAATCTATTTGCTAAATATCTAATAAAAACTCAGTCATTTTTTTAAAAATAACTTTTGTAACGGGGTTCAGTAATTTGTCAAAACTCTATCAAGTGCAATAGAAAATTGAACTGAAACACATAATTTCTTATTTTCATGGATAGTTAAAAAAAATATCTATATTGACTTCTGCAAATTGGTTTCTAAATTCTCTATGGTATTAAAATTTTGAGATATTTTAGTCCAGCTGATCAAAACAGACATTATTAGATCTATATTATTTCCTTCCCATTATCATTTGGTTTATCACACTATTTTTTTCACTTTTTGCCTCTCTAACACTGCAACGCGTTACGATACCCTTTAGAATAATCTCTCATTACAAAGAAGATGAAATGCTAAACATTTCCCTCAACTACAGTATGCAGGTCAGATTATTAGTTTCTGAGATATTTTAATCTACATATTCTACAAAACTCTTTTTATCATTTGGTTTTCAACAGTATTTTTCTATTTTACCTCTCTAACATGGAATCGTTTAGCATATACTTTTGAATAATAGCTCATTACAGGAAGGACGAAATGCTAAACATTTTCATAGCTTACAGTATACAAGTCTGATTTTTTGTTTCTGAGATTTTTTAATCCATACACAAAAACAATTAGTCGACTTAGCCAAAATGAGTGTTACACATCCAAACGTTACAAGTCAATCTCATTCACTACTCATAAAAAAAGTGCAATGCACACCTAAAGAAGTTTTCACTTCAACAACAAAAATTTGAAACTTATTAATGTCTGATTTTTCCATGATGATTAAGAGGGTCTCATCAGTAATATTCTCAACTATTCCTTTAACATGAGAATAAAATAAAAAAATTATCAGTTACAATCAGATTAACAAATACTTGAGTATTTCATTTCAACAAAAGTTAACTATTGTAAAATTCAGTTTGTTACTTGGATACCAGTCTTCACAGAGCATGATGACCCAATCGCCGTCTTTCAAATTCAAATTGGGAAAACTTAAATCATTAGGTTCAAGTAATTCTCTTTCATGTGTTATCACCCCAAGGTTTTCATTGGTGAGATGGGGCAAGTTAACTATTGAAATTAGATGATGAGGACATTCAAATGTGGCATAGTCATTGCATGATAGTTTTTTAAATAAATTTGTTACAGTACAAATGTTAAAAGAAAATACAATTCTAAATACCTTAGTCATTATTTATGCGTGGAAATAATTTTCACTGTCATTTTACGTAAGTTTCGATTATAAATAAATAAAAGTTTACTAAAAAACTGAGAGTGGGACACTACGTGGTAATGACATTTTATTAGTTTAAGTAATTATAAAATCAGATAATTCTTTAATATTTTATTATAAAGAAATACTTCTACGCCGAATAGCCATGGGAAAAAATCAAGCTAGAGTTACGTAAAATGAGAATCACCCTTATACAACTATAATTTAATTAACTTATATAAAATAAAGTAAATTTTAAAACAGGTATTAAAAGTATAGGGCACCACTATATAGACATGACTTAATAAAATAAATTGTTAAAAAAGTAATGAAAATAAATTAAATTAGAAAAAGAGATTTGACCAATATGCAGAATAAAGCACGGCGTCTACTTGCCCACTCCAGCCTCCCTTTGGCCTGACTTAAAAAGTAACTATGACTGAATAGATAGCAAGTCTGTATTCTATGCTGCTCTGCGCTTTTTGAGACAAACTGCCAGTAATTCAATCATAGTTACATTTTTGTCGGACTGAGGCAGAACAGAATGGACAAGTGAGTGCTAAAGTGGGTTTAGAGAAATCATTAGTGAGCATTTATAAGCACAGAACAGTTTCAGATAGGCTGGACTTCTTGTTCTTCTTCTGTATCATCCTGTTGTACTTATAAGCATAGGAGAACGTTTATTCAGGATTGCCAGTTCTCTATTTCATGTCAGGTTCCTGGCTTGATGGAGATAGGCTGTACTTGAGGTGTATAATTATATTTAACATTTTTGATGATGAAAATAATTAACTATTTTCTTTTAATTAGGATTAATATTTATATGAATGTATTAAATGAGAAGAAAAAAAAGAGAGAAATTTTAAATGGTTAAATTGTTTTCCTGACAATATATATAATTAAAAAACATTTCTAGGAACCACTTCACAAGTTTTGCTTCACTTTGAGGAGTTGGCACAATATATCAAGATTACAATGAAAATGAAATTCCGAGAGCCCAAGTATTAACAGGTTCACGAGTAAAACCTCCCTTTATTTTGATCTCGATTTATTACTTCCACAAACTTCCAACTGCTTTAACTTTTAAAATTAGTTTTAATTGCGTTATTGCTTTCAAAGAATGAACAAACCATTATGTCTGTTATAGTTAAGATTGGCAGTTTGACCTTTCACGTTGGTCAACATTCCACTATTTACATTGAGTTGTGTGGAGAGTGTGATCATGAGATCTTATACCCACCTATCAAAGTGAAGCAACACTTGTGAAGTATTGAACTACATCATGCAGTATTGCAATATACCAATTTCAAGCATAAAAAAAATAACCAAAAAACTAATAACAAATGTTATTACAACTAATAATTATTAATGAATACATAACTATACTAGTTCTCATCAGTCATCCAGTATTTAAAATTCAGAAAGTAGCAGGGTCAACAATAATGCTCACAAGTGCACTCCCTATGCCTGCTTAAAGGATAAAAAACCTTCAACAGAGGTAGGCTATCTTTATTTAAAGTTCTAATTTATGATCATAATTGACCAAATAATACTTTACATACCATGTGAATAAGACTTATGGGTATGTATTCCATTATGATTGTTTAGCCTTTTCAGAGAAAAACATAGTTACACCTTTGACAGCTAACAAATTGATACTTTGAACAGTGATATCTTTTATAAATTTAAGTTAACAAACAAAACAGGCAGAAAATCATTAACAATTTGTTATTGTAAAAGATAACTTAAGTATACCTTTTCCTCTTATTCATAAATGTTAACTCATACCTTTCTGATTCTACAAAAGTAAGATTTAATAAAATTGTTTGCATACGTATTATCTATGGCTTTCATAACTCACCTTAGAACACTATCTTTAATATGAGTGTTAGCACGTAATTCTTCCATTGTAAAAATATGAGTAAGTTACTAATTCTTTCTACTCAATATTTGAACGTCGTACTGTGGAGACCAATTGACTGCTTCAATTCAAAATGAACGGTGGAGATGTGCCGGTACAGGTGGAGCAGTGAATCTCGGAACATAACAAAGTAACGAACAAATAAGTAGTGAAATGGACAAGAAGATTCGAGTCACGGTCACTGGAGCTGTAATTTGTCACTGCTACAATGGTGTCGTTGGAGCAGTGACAGATTTTTCCTGGACTATTAGTGTGACATCACACATTTTATTTATCCCTCAGTAAATTATTAGCTGACTGCACCGATAGTAATAACTGTTCCAGTAATAACTGATCCATGGGGAGGAGTTGGGAAATTTCTCTTCGCTAATTAACCATAGAGAAAGAACAATATACGGCTATTTAAAATATACCTACTAGCTCTCACTAGTGGATCCAGGATTTAATTTTTTTCTGGGGGAGGTCAGCCAGAAAGCTTTTTTTTCATATATAAACGCAGGGTGTTTTGGAATTGCACGGCACTATTTTCTGTGTGTTCACTAACACAAAATAAACAAAAAAGTTCATATTAACATATATCTCAAACTCATTTATTAAACAGATATCAAAGTTTAAAGATTTATTATTTATTTACTACATTAAGACCAACTGTACAAAGTTTAACGTTGTTAATACTAAATAACAGGTTTTAATCACCTGATAAACAAATGAATGATAAGCAATGACAGTAGTTGCTCGTCTGTTTGTCTAGTTCTGTGTGTTTTAGTGTGAGTGAATACTGTGACACAGTTCAATTTATGATTATCATGGAAGACACCATAAATTTATTCAGTTTTGCAGAACAAATAGACATGCTTTTAACTTATGGCGAGGTACATAGAATCAGTGCTCCTGCTGTTCGAAGATATCGTGAAATTTTCCTAAGCGAAGAATCGTAAAACGTTTGATAACATTGAAAGACGCCTAAGGGATAATAGCACGCTAAAACCTATACGAGTAAACGCCGTCCGACAAAGATTTCGAAGAACTATAAACGTTGAAGAAAAAATACTTGGTGCTGTTTAGTTATCTCCTACTGCCAGTACCAGAAGGTTGTCATGTTGTTTCGATGTTTCCTCTACCAGCGTATTGCGAACTTTGCGTGAACAATAATTGTATCCATTTTATGTATCGAGTAGGCAAGATTTACTACCACAAAATTATAACTAGCGTAGATATTTCTTCCAGTGGCTAATTCGACAATGCCAACGAGATCCTAACTTTCTGAACTACATTTTGATTACTGATGAATCTTGCTTTACAAGAAAAGGAATTCTTAATTTTCGAAATAATCATACTTGGGCTAAATAAAACCCTCATACGACTGCTGTTGGACAATACCAACATACCTTTTCTTCAAATTTCTGGTGGGGTCTTCTAAGCGTCAACATCATCCGCCGCTTCTTTTTGCCACCTAGGCTGTCAGGTATATCGTACTTGCATTTTTTGTAAAATAATCTTCATGAACTCCTAAAAGATATTCCGCTAGGCATTAAGCAAAGGCTGTGGTTTATACATGACGGTGCTCCATCTCACTTTTCTAATAGTGGCCCTGCCTGCAGTGTCAAGGCAGATAAGCCAAATTTTTCACGTGGCATTTTTTTACTTAATGCGATATTACCATCAGAACATGTCTGGTAGATTTTATTTTTTTGTTTTCTGTTTTTCCCTTCCTTGCCTTTCCTTTCGGAAGAATTATGCCGAGTTAAGAAGTCCTACCGGGCACCGGGATTTGAATTGGTAACAATTTTTCTATCGCTAATCAGGTTGCCAAGCAACTCGCGGTGCTGTAGACAGACGTTAGCCCGCCCGCTCGGCCAGCCAGCCCTCTGTCTAGTAGAGCGTCTAATAAGAGAGCTTCGTTGTTAGGCTCAACACCTCGTTCTTAGCCTACAAAACGAAGGCTCCGTCAAACATCTTCAATGACACCTGTTAGCTCCGGAGAACATGAAACCCAGCGAGTACATCATCACAAGAAAAAACTGAAAAATCTCCATTTTTGACATCCAACCCCTATCAGGTACTTCAGAATGATAGAGAGGTAATCCCAGAGAGGCAATACCAACTCAACCGACGATACAACAGCTGTGTAGATTTATCAACAATAGAAAATCAACTTTCAATTGACAATAAATTATTGATCTACCATACAATTCTAAAATCTGTTTGGTCCTACGGACTGGAACTGTGAGGAGACAGCAATTTTTTTAAACATTAAACTCGTCCAATCCTTTCAGTCCAACTTGCTTCGAATAATAGTTGATGCTCCGTTCTATGTAACCAACAAAACCCTACTAGGAATATGAGAATAATTTTATTATTTCTGCCATTTGTCCCAGACCTTATCCCAGAAAAATTCTACAAATTTAATCAGAATCTTACATATCATCCTACTCCACTCTCAATCCAGCTTAGGGTTTTAAGTGCATTTCGTGATCAATCGGATTGGGAATGGAGTAGGATGATATGTACGGTTCTGATGAAATTTGGAGAATTATTATGGGATGAGGTCTGGGACAAATGCCAGAAATAATAAAATTATGCTCATTCATTCATTCATTCAATTATCATCATTCAAATCTCCTTTCACCATAGGCGGATCTACGGGAGAGGAGAACTTTCGGGCCGAAGCTCCTTCCCCCCCCCCTCTCAAATGGTAAAATATAACCATTTTGTTTTATCAAAAAAATAATATATCAAAGTATTATAGTTAGTCTCTTTACATGTAATAGGACTTGAAGAAAAACTTTATTTGGGTATTTAGTTTCTTTCTTTCTTCCGAAGTAATTATGGTAGGATATACATACAAAAAAACTCTTTCGAGCTGAAACCCCTCAAAATTAAGTCCTGGATCCGTTAGTGCCTGGCACAATCCATATCTAGCTCCATCCATCCCTACAATCCTCCTCGAAGGTTGTAGCGACAATGGTCCAGAAACCTTTTTGTAAATGTATATATCGGAGTTTTAGCAATGCCCATTCTACTTAAGAAATGTACCCATATGGTTATAGTGCCTCTGCGCCGCCTCCACAGGTCCTTAATTTCTAGTAATACGGCTGAGTGAGAGACACGTCCTAAAGTCCTGCCTTTGCTTCCACAAGTGGGGGGAATGAGTCAGCGATTTTCTGAGTGAATGAATATTATAAAAATTGTATAAATGTATGCTTGTATTTAATATTTTTATTTCATAGTTTCTTTCTTTTTCTTCCAGAGTAATTACCGTTATAAAAAAAAATTGAAAATATACATATACATTTTACTGGCCTCCTAGGACACATCTAATATAATTTGATACATTGTTTTTCTTTCAGCCAGAGTGATATTAAAAAATAATAGGGTGTATAAAAAAAATTACTGTTTTATCAAATTCAAGATTTCAAAGTACTGTAAATATTTTATTTCTCTATTTAATACTTATCAATATTTTATAATCCCTTTAGAGCATTCTCTAAGCTTGTTTAATCCCATTCGACTTCTTTTAAAAATGCCTCAGTTTATTTATATGTTTCAAAGAACAAACATGACATAGTCCTATGAAATTCTCGTAATTTTAAGACATTAATTCACCAAGTTTAACGCCTCTTCTGTCAGTTCGATTGGAACCCCAAACCGTGTTCCAGGAGTTGGTATCTGAGCACACGATCATGCTCCTATTCATTGCCATGATCGCCTCCATAGGGGGTGTATCTTCTTAAATGTCACGCCCGTCTGGTAGGTATGCCGAAACTAGTGTGAATGCAACATTATCCCATTTGACGTAACATGCAACACTACCCGCCGTGGAATATGTTCTCAGATCCATTACGTCGAGGTTTGGGTTGTTAACCACAATAGCAGCCCTGGACCTCCTCTCTCCTCTGCTCAGAGCTATCATTCTTGACGTGAGACCTAACCCCATAACCAAGTCCCCGCGACAACTCGGTTCTTCTCTCGCCATAATGTCATAGCGTTGCGAGAGTTTGCGAAGCTCTTCAGCTACTAGACGCTGGCGGACCATGTTGAGCTGGAGGATGGAGAGTTTAATCATAGGATGTCCTTTTCGCCAACTCTTTTGACCATATTAGATGCACAGGGCACTCTTTGCTACCCACCTTGTGTTTTGTCTGCCTGGGCTGGGCATTTACCCGCAAACAGTTTATGCAGGTAGGTCCAACTAAATCCTTTTTATTCGGACATTCCTTAAGGACATGGCCAGTAGCTGCACACCAAATGCAAACAAGAGTGTCCGACGGACATTGCAACGATAACATCGGGGAAACGATATCTGAAAAGATCAGAATGTGCCAAGACTTATGCCCGGAACTCGGCAACTTTATAGACTAAATTATATACAAGTATTTCCGGTAGTAATCTCCAACAATTACCTCATCCCAGACGATACCATCCGCTCTATTGAGAAGTTGAAGCTGCCAGAAAAAGGAGAAAGCAATTCTCCTTGGCACGGTGAATATCGTTAGATAATTTTTAAACATAGTCTCAAATTTGAGTCCCTAGAGCTAGGTTCGGGTAGGTGAATATTCCCAGCAATGTCCGAGACAATGCGAAATTCTAAAATGATAATAATACTTTATTTATTCTGGGACGAGTCTCTTTAGAATAATACAGAAAGACAGGAATGTGGGCTAACGAGCCTCAAAGATACACTAACAATCAAATCACATTCTTCAGTATTTTAGAATATCTTTATCTAAACACAAAATTTGCTCTGTTGTGGACTCGCAAGTATTAATTGAGAAATGGAATTACTAATAATGGAACTGGCAAGGCACCAATTTACGTACGTACCAGTTTTATACAAAATTTCTCTTTTACCGACCAACTGCAGTTTTCGTCGATTAAACGAGTACAGCTCTCTTATTTTATTTAATCGTGATCACGTTGTCAGCCTCATTTCAATTTCGTCCTCGATTTCTAAGGCCCAATATTAGGCATAAATTGGTGTTCTACTTCGCTAAAGAAAAAAACGAGAATTAAAAAAATGTAATAATATCAATTTTAATCATAAATTCGTCTTAATCGCACAATGTATTGCACTATTACTATTGCTCAATAACAATTTAAACCATTATTTTAAATAGATGTGATTTCGCAATGATTCATGATGTTCATCTTCAAATTAAGTTTTACTCAATTGCAATGTTGAGGATTTTTTTGGCATTTTCTCGTACCCAGTCTATTTCCTGTAACGTAAAAGTTCGTCTAATTTATTTATTTCTAAAACTAAATCAACTAATAAGAAAGAAGACAGTATTCATGCATTTTTATTATACTGATACCTCTTCATCTTCGATGAAATTATTTCTGTTAATTTTTTCTTTGAAGGTATCATAAAGTTCAAGAGACAATAAACCTAAGAAGGAAAAAAAATTGAAAAATATTAAAACATAAATGGCAAAAGAAATATCATTTTATAGATTTTTTAATATCAAATAAAGGATTACGTCAAATTATATTGTTTATAATGTTACAAATAATGAATAAACTTGATTATGATAATAATAAACTAATACATTGGCTTGGTTTGTTAAAATAATAAACAAATCTGATTATAAATTAGACGGTTCTTTATTTTAGTGGGCAGGAGTGCACATCAACTCCCCATGGTCGATGGCGCAAGAATCTACTGCCACTCCCACTCCCAAGATATTGTAGTGTCATATTTTCTTAAAACTGAGCAAGCGAAAGTAAATTAGAAAAATGGTAGACCATATAAAATTACACTTGCTGCGGTCTGTTCCATGTTTTCCTCTTACCTCTAATTTTTTTTTTCTATTTCTGTTCTTCTCTACCTTGCTTTTTAGAGTATACGGGATTTTCCCGGGCCGGAGAGTGAGGGAGAAGAATTTCAAATCCCCTCTGGCACCGTGACGCGAACTGGTACTTTTTTTTTTTTTAATCTCAAAACTTGATTATGTGGTTACCGGGCAACTCGCGGTGCTGTGCACACATGTTAGCTCATTCGGCCACCCCGCCACCCAATTCCTCTTACCTCTTAATATGGAACTTTTCATTCCGAAAATTCATAACAGTCGAAATGTGCTCCCCTCAAAAATTCAGAAACCCATCAAAATATGCCCTCCTCAAAACAAGCATTTAAAAAAATGACATTAAATGAGTATAAATAAATAAAATAACACAAAATAAATCACAGAGAATTTAAAATATGTTTCAAATGTTTCCCTGAGACACTCAAACAAATAATAAATTGATAATTTACTAAGGACGGAAAATATTATGGCAGTATAATCATAAGGAGAAAAAAATGAATTCAAGAAAAAAGCAATAAATATGTCATAAGCTGTAATCAGTTTATGTTTCAAACTACAACAAGACATATTGTGTGGCAAAATAAATAGTTTTGTTTTTGGAGGTATCGTAACTAAAAACCTCACTTGACCGATATATTTTAAAACATTAGAGGAATCCAAATAAGAAATGAACAAACCAATTGTATATTATCTATAACTATTTGATGGCAAAATTTCGTGAACAGTAGTAATTAATGTATTACTATTTCTCATATAATATAAAAACGATTCGTTTTTATATAATGGCTGAAAAAATAATTGTAAATAATTTTTTTAATTAAATCACTCATACCTTTAACGTAGTGGATTCCAATACCTTTAATCCTTGAATCGCCGAGTTTCAAAGAATTATTTAAAGCGATTAGTTCCTTCGTGATTTTTTCTTTGTTTTCTAGTTCTTCATCCGTCAAAGCTAAACAAGGAAAATGCATATATGCAAATAATTAAATAACCTTTTCAAAATTGATAGATTGTATAAAATAGTTTTGTAATTAAATAAGCAGTTCGTTAACCATAGTAATAATAACTTAGGATGTTAACGAAGGGCATTGTTATAGGAACCTTAATAATCTCTTTGTTTAAATATGTGTTTTTACATTATAAATTAATCAATGATTTGGATCGGATGTTTTAATTTATTTGATAATTATCCAACAGATAAAGCTTATGTTTTAAGAGTAAACATCTGAAATATAATACTAAATATCACTGTATTTTATTAAAGATAAATCAGTTTATAACGCTCACACAATAAAATTCATTTTGAATACCAACAATTCCTTAATATAACTTGGACTAAACTACACTGGCTCTACCATCAACTGCATTTGTAGCGACTGTACACAAACACAAATAGTTCCGACAGCCTATTGTTATTATTTTTACATTCTCTACTCTCTCTTCTAAAAATAGTGGTTCTAAAAAAAACTGGGTTACAAATTCTAGTTTAAATGTCAGGTAAAAGAGATCCAGGTCAAAGCGGGTCTTGATTAAGATGGTATGGAATTTAATCACCTGTCAATCTATGGACTTTTTTATTGAATCTGATTATTAAAACCACACTAAATCAATGTATTTTGCAGTTTGGGTAAACTGAAAACGTTTAAACTATTAATAAATAAAAACAAACCAGTTTTTTTGTTATTAATTATATTACAATTGACTCCATTCGTTATAAAAATTGTTTGGACTGGATTTGAAAATTTTACACTGTCAAAAGTGAATCGCGATAATTGAATGCAAAATAACCATTGGGGCTTACTATGCACTGCATAGTTTAATATATGCAAAAATATTCACTAATTAAAACACGATCATATTATTAAAAAATTAAATAAAAATAAATGGCACCAGCTTTATAATTGAAGGTAGATAGTAGAAAATTGCTGAAATAATTGAATTTCGTGCAATTAAAAATATTTTAATAAAGCAGAGCAATATAATATAATAATAATTCTTGAAAATTAAGTATCAACTTTTTTTTTGTTCTCTCCTACCTTGCCTTTTAGGCTATACAGGGGTTTTCCTGAACCACATATTTACAACTCCTATACGGATTCAGACATCCTGTCTGTATAGTACTCATCTAGGGTTTGTAGCGGCCCTTGGGACTGACCCATTACAAACCCTTTACCGATTCAGAAACCTAAGATATGCCTGCCCGCTTTGGAACTTCAGTCGTTTTAAATTAATAAGAAAATAATAATAATGAGTTCATATTAAAAATATTGTAGATATTGATTGACCCTAATTGAATAATTTCATTTATAGAAACAAAAAAAAAATTAGTGAATTTAAAAAAAATTTCGGTTGTTATTTTTCCTGAGAATACAGGTACTCTGGGGTGACAGAATATAAAATCACATAATTTTTAACACAACCCAAGGATAAAACTCTATTCTACAACAAAACCTCAACTTAATTTGTATTCAATGGAAGATTATTAAACAACGAAGTTTTTATAAAAGTGAGATATCAGTAGGGTGATAAAAAAATCACAAATTTATTGTTTATAGTTTTTAGTATAGTTTACATTTATAGCATAGTTTACATATATACATACATATACGGCGCTACATCCCGTCACCGAGACTGGGCCTCCTCCAAAAGCTTTCGCCAGTCAATACGATCAGCTGCAGCAGCTCTCCAGTTTCGGACTCCCAGTAGAGCCCGTGCGTCTGATTTCACTTAGTCCTCCCATCTTACATTTGGCCTGATAACTTTTCTTTGCCCATGCATCTTTCCGGACAGCATTTTTCTGGGTATCGCCGAATCATCCGTACGTGCCCAGCACACCGAAATCGTCCAACTTTATAAACTTCACCAAGTCTATGTCCTTATAAAAGCAAGGAAGTTCGGCATTTTTCCTTCTTCTCCAAATTCCACCCTCTCTAACAGGACCAAAAATCCTTCTCAAGATTGATCTCTCAAAGATCAGAAGTCTATTTTCATCTTGCTTCTTAAAGGCCCATGCTTCTGATCCATAAGTTAAAACAGGTCGGACCAAGGTTTTGTAGATAGTGATCTTGGTCCTGTTAGAGAGGAACCTGCTTCCAAAATGTTTCGAAAGACCAAAGTAGCACCGTCTTGCCGTTGCTATCCTTCTGTTGACTTCTCTAGAGATGTAGTTTTGGGAGTTGACCTCAGACCCGAGGTAAACAAAGCTGCATGCCTTTTCCAGCCATTTGTTCCAGTCACAAAAGAACCGGTCCCTGGCCCATCTCCTCCGACTCTCATACACTTGGTCTTAGCTTCATTAATGACAAACCTGAACTAAATTTATATGCAATAAAAGATTATTAAACAACGAAGTTTTTATAAAAGTGAGATATCAGTAGGATGATAAAAAAATTACAAATTTTTAGTTAGTATAGTTTAAATTTATAGCATAGTTTGGCCACTCAAAAGTCCCCTTGAATGGTTTTAAGAAATACAAACTGTATTTGTATTTGAAGAAAATTGTGCCTAGTTTACTATAAAGCTATTTTTAATTGCCTAAATTAAAAAATGTTTGTACTATCACTCACTAGTGGATCTAACCAGGGAGCGCCCCCTCCCCTGGAAGCAGGAAAGAACATTCCAAAAAAAGTTCAAAAAGCAGCTATTTAAAGAAAAGAGAAATATAGGAAAAATTCATCCTCTAAGACGAATTTCTAATGTGATATAAAAAAAAATATTTTTTCATATTTTAGGCAATAAAACTTCGAATTTTCTTCATATTTTTTTATTTATGCTTGTTGTCTCTTACGTTTCGGGACAATTTTCCCATCATCAGAGCAATATTTTTATTTTTACATTCATTTTTTTGATGTGGCACCATTTGTCAAAAATTAATTATTTGTCACATTTCTTAAAAATTATTTGGTGTTACACATATTCACTGATACACTAATCAACATCTGGATTTTTAATTTTTAAGAAATTTTTAAGAAATGTGACAAATAATTAATTTTTGACAAATGGTGCCGCATCAAAAAAATGAATGTAAAAATAAAAATATTGCTCTGATGATGTGAAAATTGTCCCGAAACGTAAGAGACAACAAGCATAAATAAAAAAATATGAAGAAAATTGGAAGTTTTATTGCCTAAAATATGAAAAAATATTTTTTTTTATATCACATTAGAAATTCGTCTTAGAGGATGAATTTTTCCTATATTTCTCTTTTCTTTAAATAGCTGCTTTTTGAACTTTTTTTGGAATGTTCTTTCCTGCTTCCAGGGGAGGGGGCGCTCCCTGGTTAGATCCACTAGTGAGTGATAGTACAAACATTTTTTAATTTAGGCAATTAAAAATAGCTTTATAGTAAACTAGGCACAATTTTCTTCAAATACAAATACAGTTTGTATTTCTTAATACCATTCAAGGGGACTTTTGAGTGGCCAAACTATGCTATAAATTTAAACTATACTAACTATACTGCCTCCCTCTGGATGATGGAAAAAAGTTCCGAAAAAAAATCCAAAAAACAGACATTTAAAAAAAAGACAAAGAAAATATACCTACAGGAAAAAATCTTCCTCTAAGACGAATTTTTAAATGCGACCATCATCATTATTCCGTGCTCGACAATCCATTACTGGATCTTTGGTGCCTCAAGAGTTTTCCTCCATGTTTCCTTGTCCCGAGCAGCCATCCACCGGTTCATGATTCCAAGAATTCTGGCATCAGCACTTACTCCATCCTTCCATCTCAGTTTCGGTCAGCCCACTTTTCTTTTTCCAACTGGTACAGAGGCGCGCGCCCCTCCCTGAGAAAATTCCTTGATCCGTCACTGGCTATAAGACCTTTTCTCTGCTTTCTAAAAATGACAGAGATCCGTCTCTGATACGAAGTCACTCATTATTTTGATGTTTAATTTTATTATTATTATTTTTTAAATTTAATGTTCAAGTTTGTTTGGTTATTTTATGGGAAATAAAAATGAAAAATGTTCGTTTGTTCAAAATCTTAAAGTTCTTCGCCTTGAAATTTTGGTTTAACGCTGCATTCAAATACACGCGTGGTTTTTTTTATACCTACTATTATAAAATATAAGGTAAAATTATATATATTTATTAAAAACGCACTATCAGTTGGCTGTAAAAGCAACACATGCTGTTCAAAATATTTTAAGATACCGTTTCAATATTAAAGAATATCAAATATCAAACGTTGCAATGCATTGCAATTGTGATATATCGCTTACCATAGCGTTAGTTTCGTGCCCATTAGGGCTGCCTTCCATCTTCTTCAAAAGATTTCGTATACCCCTCCTAAGTTACTTGATTGCCCGTTTTTAACAACTTGATTAAATATAGAGACATGAAAGCTGCAGTGGAAAAATAAACCTTACTCGTAAAAGAAACCTTACGGTAAACGACACAGCCTTATTCAAATGTAAAGTTAAAGAAAATAATTTATTAAAAAATAAAATAAAATTGATGAAAAACTGATTTCTAAAAGGAATCAAAAACATAAACGGTGATAATTATTACTCAAGGGTTCAATATTTTTAAATAATATCATATCAAATATTTGAGATGTATCATACTACTTCCAGAATACATTGGGGGAGAAAATAAATTTGAATTTAAAGAGGGTATTGACCTACATAAAGAGAATCATATCACTTCTTCAAATGATAATATCAATTACTTCTGTAAATCTAATGTGAATTAGATTGAGCCGTCAGAAATCAATTAATTGAAGTGTTTTTGCATTTGAATTGAAATATCTCCAAAACTAAAAATTTGTCGTGCATATTGTAAGCGAGGAAAATGTTCATCATTTCATCCTCATTGCAATGAGCTATTGTTCAAAATTGAATCTTAATGCGACGCACAGTGGGTCGAAAGACGGATTTTCGTGATAATTAAAATATCTCAAAAACTAAAAATCGGACCTGCATACCGAAAGCGAGGGAAATATTTAATATTTCATTCCCTTTATAATGTGCTATTATTTACGATTTATATTTCATATTATTAATCTCGCTTTGCTGTTTTCATTTCTATCGTGTGGTCTAAAACACAGAACTTTTTTTTATTTTTTTTATTTCACAAAACATTGGATTCCTAACGATTCTTCACTATTCACCACTATTGTTTTGAAATAATGCCTTCATGCGCATGGTATGTAGCGGCAACGAAATGAATAAACGAAAATTTTTATTCTCAAGAGGTTTTTTATTGTGTAAATTAAGAAAGATCCCAAAAATATATATGTCCATAGTTTCTCTCTATTAGGGAAGTACTACTTACTTCCAAACAAAGGCGGATTTACACGGGAAGGAGGACTTTCGGGCTGAAGCTCCCTCCCCCCCCCAAAAAAAAAATAAATTCTGGATCCGCTAGTGCTTCCGAAGTAGTTTCTTTATGAATATTAGAAAAAAATATGTTGTCATCGAAAATTCAATTTCTATTTTTAGAAATGAATAGTACTTGGATAAAATAGTTTATTTAGATTAACAATTATTAATTAACTTAGTATTAATGAAACAATTGAGAAATTTATTAAAAATTGCTTTTGTTAAATTATTAATTAAAGTACCGTAAATGCAACTTATAATGTCCTTACCTTCGTAAGGAGTATTTTTATGACCCACGCTCCACACTTGCTCAAATTTCTCTATGATAGAGAAATATTTCATTTTATACCCTGAAGTAGTTTCACTTTTATTTAAAACTTCTAAAGGCTTAGCGAAAGGCAGCTTAGATGCAGGCACGACCTCGTCACAGCTTCCACACTTCCAATCACTCTTCATATCAATGGAACACAAAGGCAGGATCAATCCACCACAATTGCATTCCAAAGCAGACAAATTAGTGTCGAATTCCTATAATAAACGAAAATAGTTAAAAATGAATCTAATTTTATTTATGCTAAAACAGAAATTAATTTTCCTACTGACCGTCGGGTCTCCACACCTATTGCAAGTGCACCAAAATTGTTTAGTCGCAAATAAGAAATGCCTACGTATTATGGTAGGCCAAAAGAGATAAGAGTAGTGAGTGGTTAATTCCATTCCTTCTGGAATCGGACAGGTCGCTACCACGTACATTGTTTGGATGTTATTCTCGAGGAGGAAGTAATGCTGCGTGTTTGGCACGCAGGAATGGTTCATCATTCCTGCCAGAGGGTAGAGACCTCTTAAGGACGCCTTTATCTTTCCTTCACCCAACTCCGTTTCGAAAGCTGTACCACTTAAAACGGCGCACGACAAGTTAAGAAATTGTTCTTCCTCATCAGAAAAGTTTTTCAGCAATTCCTTTTTCAAAAATAACATCTAAAAAGTAAAAATTGTAAGAGTTATGTGAATGGAATCTGCAAAACAAAACAAGATGCCAAAACTATCGTTGTTGATAAAATTAAGACATACCACAGGCAGATTTACGGGGGGGAGGGGAAGGGGAGGGGGCTTTCGGGCTGAAGCTCCTCCCAAAATGGTAAAATGTAACCATGTTTTATGGTAAAAAATTATGTCTTAAAGTATTATTGCTCGTTTACTTACATTTAATAGGATTTCAAGAATTACTTAAACACCATTTCATATAGGTAGTTAGTATCTTTCTGTTTTTCTAAAGTAATTATCGTTATATATATGAAAAAAAAGCTTCCCGTCTGAAGCACCCCTCCCCCAAAATTAAATCCTGGATCTGCTAGTGAGACGTACGGTTTGCATTCAGTGAAAATAAGAAATTTTGAAGTTAAATCAGATAGGCCAATCACCCACTTCAACAGAAAAAGTATTGTTATAATTTTTAAAGAGAGTAATGTGTTCATGAATTTAACAAAGAACAGAACAAAGTGGATTTCTTTATCAAAGTGGATATCTACAGTGGATAGTCGATTTCTCTGTCGATTTCTATAATGGATTTCTTAAAATACACAATTAATAATGAAAACAACATGAGGAGGTGGGAGGAACTTGTTGAGTTATCCAAAAACCATTTTTTTAACATGTGAATTCACATGCCAATTTTCAACCCTCTAACTTAATTAAAAGCGCACAAAACATGAAAATAGAAGAAAAACAACTGGCTATACCAAAATATTGACAAAATTCTGTTGAACTTCTGTTGATTTTGTTCTTGCTAGAAAAAAAAACCTACTACTGAGCATCCAACCATTTGATCTAAAGGGAACCATGGGAGATACCAACATGTAATAATGTGGGGGGAGGAAATTCCCATCCATCTCCCATGATCTTAGGATCTTCGACACATTGCAAAAGTCTATTACTTTCAGGTAAAATAAGATTAGAAAGTATGATGAGCAGAATTCCATCACTGTTTCTATTTTCCCTCATTTTGTTTTGGAAAATGGATCAAAATGGTTTAATTTTTATTTGTATTTTTTTGAGGAAATTGAATGCAATTTTAAAATCAATTGAACACCTGAATTTATCCCTTATTTTTGTTTTTGAACATTTCATATATTTTATTCAATTAGAAATATCGTCCGGGATGGAATAAAGTTGAAACCCAAAAAAAAGGTACTTCTCAAAAACCAACTCAATACACTAACAAATTTTGAACCCAATTATTTAATCAAGGGAATATATTATCAGAAGAAGGAATTAATTTTCTTTTCTTTGGACGAGGGTTCATACAAATTGCAATTGTCGGAAGTATCCTTGCTAACTAAAAACGGTCTGCTTTTGATAATTTTTTAAAAAAATTGTAAGGAATTTTGAAACATTTCAAATTATAATGGGTATGATATAATGAATCATAAATTGTACACTTCTTGAGTTATAATCAAATAAATTTGCATCTTCTTCATAACATTTTTCTGACTTTTCTTGGGAATGGGCTTATATTGTACACCTGAAGTATCTTTAAAGTGATGGCTCGATTATTGCATTTGATAAAGAATTAACAAAGAACAGGGATACAGACAAAAACATGTTTGAGAAATAACATATAAAAATAATTTTTACTTTCACTTACCTATATAGAAAATATATAAAAAGGGAAAGTATTGCGATCGTTAAAATTTTCGAATCTTAGTTTTATAATAATAGATTTGTTATTTTAATCCTTGAAGTTTTCTAAAATTTGTAAAAAATATATGCACTTTTTTGTGCATTTCCATTACATGCCTTGAATTAACTCATTTTACTTCTTGAACTTAAAAAAAAAAAAAGAATTTAAAATATATGAATAGAAGTAATAAGTGAAGCTGAGATCTAATTTTACTTTTAAAAAACGTATGGTATTGGGCCTACATTAGTACGAATTTTCAATGAGCAAGCACACGAGGATGTTCGAGGTACGAGGATTTGTCACAGATCTCGCAGCAACGCTGCATGTGCGGTTTTTATAAATATATTGGTATTATTTAGTATTTAATTGTATTGATTACAGAAATATAAAAATTAAAATTTTTATACATATCAATGCTCAAACAAATAAAAATACATACAATGAAAGCCACAAACATACACAGGTCTTTATTGGAAGTACTTTTGTGGAACTTAAAATATTTCGTGATCCTTGATTATTTATTATGATCAAACAAATAATTGAAATATACAATTGCAAAAGAATTGGTTTGTGACAAAAAAAAACATCAATATAAAAGAGCCTTTTACACATCGACTAACTCCAATTTCAACATTTCTAGTAGTAAAATGTATAATATCTGTACAGATGGTGAGTAAGTTGATTCCAGAGTAGGTGATTACAGTGTTGAAATATAGAACTGTGAATAAAGGTATACACTTTTCCACTAGAAATATCACTAAAAATTATAACAAAAATATTGCAATTGGAGTTAATCAGTCAACTCAAAGGCTCATATATTAAATGGCTGTGAAAAACATATGATAATTAATTTTTTTATACCATCTCTAATTTTTACTTTCACTTCCCTTTATCTGTAAGTACATATTTCTGTTTTTAAAAAAGCGTGGTAGGTGAAATTTGTGTGATGTGCACACTGCACAAATTTTTTTTTACAATTTATTTTATTACTTTTTTTCCCACCCAGTTTTATTAAATATTAATTAACTAACCATTAAGGTATACTATTCCTCTTAAAAGTCGTTGAATGAATTAAAACTATGAAGAATAAGATATATGATTCAGCCAAAATTAACTAAAAATCCAACCGCAATTATAAACAAATATTGTTTTAAATGCAGAGTAAATTAAAACATAACAAATATGTGAAGTAATTTAACATACTTATAAATTTTAAACATTCTGTAAACAACCATGTCTGATATATATATATGGAAAAAAGGTAACATAAACAAAGGGAGAGTTTTGGGAAACCAGTAGAATACATTGCTATATAATAAAAAATAAATAAATTAAAACCTGGTAGAACATGTCCAGAGGTTTATTATTATAAAATATTTATAACATGCATAAATACTAAAAAGAAATAAACATCATCAATTAAAGTCACAGCCATAAATTAAAATAAATAAAATAAAATAAATAAATAAAAATTAAATATTTATAACATTACTTATATCATCTTTTTCGTTCTTTTATAAATCAGACATTGGTCATAGGTAATTATGCTTTTAAAATACAAACAAAATAAGACAATGTATTTATAAATTAAAGTAAACTAATTGATACCGAGAGAACACATGATCATATAATGATAACATTTTTATTGCATACCTCAATGTGATTGGTCTTTTTATTTGCACTCAAACATTTTATTAGCTTCTTCTCCTCATCACTAACCAACAGGCACCTTAATGCTGTTAAAGCACGGTACAACAGAGGTGACCAAAATTCTCCTTTTTTAACTGAAAATTCTAACAGTAATCGACATTCCCTCTCATGTGATATTGTATTTTCACATTCACTATTACAGACTGGTAAGCGACAACCTTTGGAACAAGTAATCAATGGTACACCCATCTTCATGCAACTTACACATGCTGGAGGCAATACAGATGATCTCGGTCCTAAGTGTCAACAAATATAAACCAATGGCTCTCATATAACAAACAAATATTCAAAGGATAAAAAAAGTTAAATGATACATACCTATTACTATTGGAGTGTCCCTAAAAATGATTTCACCTGTTTCATAACTTTTGTTAGTAAAGACACCTGATCCACTTATGTTGGATTTGTTTATAATCCAACATTGTTGATTACCAAAAAGCAGTTCCCTTTGCTTTAATATTCTATTCAACTCATCACACATTCCAAATAGAAAAAGTTCCTGTATTGTGCTAAATGCTAAAAAGAAACAACTAAAGTGCAATTACCTTAACACTATCATCAAATATTTTATTCACAGAATGAAAAAGAATCACTTCTTGCCTCATTAGCTCAACTTTTAAATAAAAAATCATTTGAAATACAAAACCTTATATCTTATAACTAAATAAATTAAAACTAACAAATAATAATTATTTCATAACAACTTACAACCATAAATAAATCTAAATGCTACATTATTGTCAAACATGGTTTTGGATAAACTGAGTAAGATTTTACCTGTTCAGATTGACTGATGGTTAACTAATGCCTAAGCCAGAGGGACTGTAGATGCCAATAGAGTTACTTGTACATTTGCCAAAAGTTGTTCATTTACATGCTTTTTCCCTAGGTAAATTTATATTTTCCAATTGGTACAATCTTAGATTTATATAGATTTTTTAAATATGAGAGCAAAAGCTATGAAGTATCAAATATAAAAATGTTGAAATACTACAGAATAAAACTATTTTTTTTTTTTAGAAATCTTATGAAATTATACAATACTTTAAGGAGGAATAAAAATAACAATAATAATCCATCAATGCTTACTTTATATTAAAATATAACAACATACGAAGTTTACATGCAGAGTTAAGAGGTATGAATAAAAAAAAAAGATTTTTTCATATCATTTATTTCTTATTACTCTGAATATCAGAGCAAACTGTTGTTTTATTAGTAGAAAAAATTGTGGCAGTATTATCACTTTTACAATCATTTATAGTACATAGTAAATTACAGAGAGACTAGGGAAAGTGTTTTACTTATTTTTTCATATTTACATTAATCTATAAGTAATTCAAAATGAACAGTGCCTATTTTTTCCTTTCGATCAACTTTAAGATTTTTGGCCCATGCTCTACACTCAACATTTATAATGATTCCAGCTGAAATAAAATTCATCAATGAGTTAAAAAATAAATAAAGCCTATATATATGGTTGTGGGTTTGTTAATTCTTAAAATTAAATAAAAAATACAAATTGCAATTAACATAGGATATGACTATTAATGATGAATGACTTCACCCAAACTGATCATTCGAATACTATTTGGAAAGTTATTCTGTAATCTAATAGTCTGCTATACAGAAAACGTTTTATCAAGTTATTAACATCATCCAAAACTTTGTGAATTGATTCATCTTATCATAACCTACAACTTTTTATCAACCGAAATTCCCAAAAATGGGGCATTTTCTCATTAAATTAATTAATTTAATGAGGTACTAAAGCCTCATGAATATCCATTTGTTAGATAATTAGATTACAAAGTTGAGAAAAAAAGGTAGACCTCCATCCCCTACATTTCAAAATAACGAAGTTATATAGACCAAACAGTCCAATATTTTTGTAGACCACTTTTTTTCTAGATTTTGTGATCAAATTATATTATGTTTCAAGCGGAAAGTAAATGAGTACTCATGAGTTTTTTGTACCTTATTAACAAAAAAAGTTTACGGATTACCAGATTGAAAACACTTCATTTCCGAGAATTCTCATAAATAAAAAAGTTATAGGTTACGATCAGATGAAGCCATTCACAAAGTTTCAAACCGATGTTAATAATTTGATAAAAAGAGGTCTGTACCACAGACTAAAAAACTTTTATCTTTTTCATATCACAAGATGCACAATCCATTCAAAGATACTTTGGCCTATCAAAAAATATTACCTTTTCAGATAATAATTAATATTAAATATTTTAAAAATAATAATGATAACTTCTCTATAAGTTTAAAATTATGTTTCCATGAATAATTTTAAATAAAAAAATTTTCTGTATACAAAATATTTACTTGAATTTTAAGTTTCAAAGATGTCCATGATTGAAGTGAAAAAAAGTATTTAATTTGAAAGTTATTTTAGCCAAAGAAATCTACATGATGTCATAAACAATCTTATTATTAGTGTAAGGTCAGTTATGTTAATTATTTGTAATAAATATCATGCTTAAATATAAATAAAAAGAGTTGTTCCAAAAATTAAAAAAATTAAAATTATAGTGGAAGCATAGTTTCTTCAAACATAAAAAATTAATAAATTTAATATTTAAATAGTAAAGGTAAAATAATAAATAAATGGTTGGAGGAAATAAAATTTGGAAAACATAACAATGAATTAGATTACAGGGTTAAACTACATGCAAATTGATCTTTTTAATTTAAGTATTGGATTTTTTGATAAACCTAGTTTGCATATGTTTATCATTTTCTATATCCTATTTTGAATTTAAGCTAACAATGTCTAAACAATGAAGACCTGAAATTTTACAAATTCTTCTCTTTTAAAATTCTATATTATAAATAAATAAAAAAAATACCACTATTTTAATAAACCAAAATGATAAATACTTAAAGATTAATATCTACTATCTAAAATTGGTAAAGGAAACTTGCCAGAAGCTATAGTTGAATTCTACTGCACATAATCATGATCGGATGAATTTTGTAGATGCATATATGTTGATCATATATATATATTTAAATAAAAACATTTTTATTTATTCTATAATTAAATATTTATTGAAAATTAAAGTTATTTTACTTTAGATCAAATTAAAGGTACCACAAGGCAAAGTGACAAAATTATAATTTTATTTAATTGTGATATTTATCTTGAAATTCCTAAAAGGTTTATTTAATTTTGAAATAATTATCATTTATTTATAACTATTGGAATTACATTTTTAAGGTTTAATTTATTTTTATTAAATTTTTTTAGAAAGATTAAATTATTTAATTTATTGAAAAATGCCTAGATCACCAAAATATAACTTTAAAACTCAATAGGTATAATTTTAGAGTATTAATAAAATGAAAATATTCATGAATTATTAAAGGCGGTTATTTGACTGTTCTACGTATCATAGTTGATAAATAATCAGGAAGCAGTCATTTTAAGATTTTTATTGTTTATTATTGATTTTTTAATAATATTTATAGTAGTTCAACACTAGCGGGATTAGAAATCAATCATATACAATGAATTTTCTAATAGAAATAGAAAATATACTTTCTTTAATTATTGTTAAAATAGAGATTATATACAAAAGTAATGAATTAGAGAAGAATTTTGCTTATTTTATTCTGTAATGCAAAGTATAATTAATACAGTAAATAACTAAAAAATAAATTGAGCAAGGTAAGATATTGAGGGGTCGAAAACATTTGGAAAAAAAATAAATAAAAATCTTCACTGCTATATTAAAAACAAGCTATTATTAATATCAATAAGCTATTATATCTAGTAACTTCTCATAGAATATGTTGAACTAATCCTGAGCATCTTTTAAATGTTATAGCAAGAGACTTTTTTTTTCATGCCCTCAGGCGGTGGAAGGAGAAGTTTGTTATTTGTATATATTAGTATTGTTATACTTATATATGTAATTTATTATATAAACGTTTTGGCGGGCTAAAAAAAAACTTTAAAAAAAATTAAGTCCTATTATAGATAATTTGATATTTAAGTTAAGTTATAAAGCTAAGTAGTTATAAAGAGACCTGATTCATGACATGATAATAATGAAATGATATTTTTTCTGAATAATAAATTTTTAAAATTGTTATGGAGATATAGTTAACCATTGATGAAATAAAGATGTCAGTTGTGTTAGCAGTCACAAATGATTTTTTGACACACTTATATATCAAAAATGACGTCTGATTTTACAAAATATTTAGAGGAACATTGTTGAGTATGTTGACTAATGTATAAATGGCTCAGTTTCTATTTTATCAAATTCTCCATATTTTTGCTTAAGGTGGCGGAAACGTATTTTCCTTGACAAGCATGTATTTCAAAAGTAGTTTGTTTGGTAGATTTTATTCTTGAACAACAAAGCTTTCATTTTGAAGATTATCATGGTCATACCATTAATATAATTATATAATGATTTTTATCTTGAAAGAAAAATATATTTAATAATAAAAGATAAATTAAGTACTTTTGGGCCTCTTAAAATGGACAGCGATAAGTGGACTAAGATATCCTTCAGTGTTCATATATGGGTAGAAATATCCTGGAAAACCTTGTCTTGGAATGTATTGAATATCTCCAATATTTTCTCGATCTACTGGTGATTCTCCTTCACAGCTAACCCAAACAGTTTTCAGCTGCAATAGAACAAAGAATCAAATACAAAATTAATTAATCAATAATTCTACAATCTGAACTTGTTGCTATTTTGCTAATATAAATATAAATAACAGTAATAATATCTATTTTTTTTTTTTAGAAAAATTACCTTTATTCTGGGATAAGGGAAGTCCCTTTAGAATAACAATAATGAACAAATACAATAGAAAATACATATCTGGTCTAAAAATAACTTAATAAAGATTCTAACAATATATACAGTAATAATAGTTGTAAACAACTAAAAAAAAATAAATAAATAAAATCTTTTCAAAAATACTTATTGATGTAATGGAAGAAAAAAAAAAAAATTACATATTTATAAAGAGTGTTCCAAATTAAAGCAAGGTTTAAATTAAATATAAAATACAGTTCTTTCTTCTTTTGATTTATTTCTCTTTGTCAATGTAAAAGCTGATAGTTTAGGGTTAGTAAAAATAGAGAGTCATACGGGATAACAACATGTTTTAATTTTTGCACAATATTTTAAAAACGATGAAAGACCAGCGGCCATAGTTCAAAAATTTTGTACGAAATATTCAATCACAAAATATGGTCGGAATAGTGATTTAACTTTATCAACTTTGGAGGGAGTGATGGAGAAATTCAAGCAGACTGGATTAATTGGTGATGTCAAACACACTGATTGTCCAAAACAAGGCGTTCTAGTGTCAATATCGAGACACCTCTTCCTATTTCAGTATTTATATTGGCCTTCGTAGACGTAACTTTTATATATATATATATATATATATATATATATATATATATATATATATATATATATATATATATATGCATACATACATAGAGTAAAAAAAAACAATATTAATGTAAAATGTAATACTATATACTAAAAAAAATAAAAATAAAACCTCAAGAATACTTATAGTTGTAATGGGAAAATAAAAATATTGATACACGGAGAGACAAAAAGTATAACCTGGACAAAATAAAAATAAAATAACAAAATTAAGTAAAGTAAAGCATTGATTTATTTAGATGTTAAAATATAAATAGTAGGCTAAATTAATAAATTCTAACAATATATACAGTAATTTAAATAATAATTTGTAAACACCTAAACAAAAAATCTTCTCAAGCACAGAGTTGAAAGGAAAAAAAAAAATAAAAAATACATACATATAAAAATATATGCTCAGAAAGAAAAAGTAAAATCTGAAGCGAAGAGAAAAGCAAATAGTAAAATAATAAACAAACAAGGTGATGAAAAAGCATTGATTTTGTATTTTAATAAAAAAGAAATTGAATATTTGACATACACAAATAATCTATTGGGATAACCTATTAGAATAACCTATTGGGTTATTTTCTCTCTGAATAAAGAATCTTTAAAAATCTGTGAACTTCTCACGCAGTTACTCTTTTTTTTTTTACTTAACTGTGCTAACTTTAATAAATTTTAATAACCTTTAAATAACTTGACTTTAAATAATATCTAATAACTTTAAAATTAATTGTCGTGCATTTCACATCTTTTTAATTTTATTTTATTTCTATATTCCCAACCAGCAGGTATAGTTATATATAATCTTAATTAATGGCGTTGATAACCATCAAGTTTTATACCTTGACTTTATAACAACCAACCAAGCTATTGGGTATATTCAAATAAATTTAGATAAAATAATTGAAATATAAACAAAAAGTTAATTAATAAATTATTACCAATTCTGGGTTAATGGATTTCTGCACTGAAATCAAATTCTTTAAGTCTTCAGGCATTTTTTCAGGCAACTCACGGGTATCATTGAAAAACTCTGGTTGCCATCCATATATCTGAAATAATTTTCAAGAATAATTTAGTGATTATCAGCAAAGATGAAATATAAATGACTATAAATAATATAAAAAGATAATTAATAATGGATAAATATAAAGATTTTAAATTTGAAGATAACTTGGAAAATTTCATGTATAAGTTTTGAAAATGTGAACAATGAATAGCATCATTCAATAGTTTAATAAATTATTCAAATGTAGCTAATTGATTTTCTAGAAACTGAAAATCATTTCGGCATTTGAAGGGATCACTCCTGTACCTCTTACCCATCATTTTGAATACCATGACCTCTTAACTCTCGACTCTTCTCATAAAATATCCATTGTCTACCTCCACCCAATTCCCCCTTGGCATTTAAGCATTTCAAAATTCTACTTCACCTTAGTTAATTTGTTGAAAAATCAGCCTTATCCATACATGACATTGAATTATTTTAAAGAATGCATCACAAGTTACGAAAATACTCAATTGGTATTCACTGATGGCTCAAAGACTGACAAAGGTGTCAGTAATAATCAGCTCAGAAATCACTCGTTACTGTTTACCTAAAATTTTCTCCATACACTCTGCTGAACTGTTCCCCATAAAACTTGTATTGCAAACCATAACAGTACCTGCGATCAATTTTTAATATGTTGCAATTTTCTTTCACCATTTACTAACATTTCTAACAATTTCATTAACAACAACTACATCACATCAAACATTATTTCACTTATACAATCCATACCAATACAAAACCATAGAATTTTATGTGGATTCCGGCCATGCGGGTATAGAGAGTAATGTTCTGCTGACACTGCTGCCAAAGAGACTTGAACCCTTTTTCCTGTACCATGACTTTTTGTCCCTTTACCAGATTTCAAATCTTTTGTATAAAAACATATGGAATGAAAACTGGCTCCGGGTAGATAAACCTAATGAACATAAAACAGTTAGAGAAACAGCTAATTACTGGAATATTGTGCACAGCATAAGAAAAGAGGAAGCGACAATAACAAGGGTAAGAATCGGGTACACTAAACTAACACACAGCTATCTGCTAGAAGGAAAACCCCTGCCGATGTGTATCAGCTGCCAACAACAACTGACTGTCAAGCACATATTGACAGACAGTGTACTTTACCAGGACATCAAGAGACTTGGAATCAATAGACAGGAATTAATTACAATGATAGGAAATGAAAATAAATTCAATGATCAAATCATACAATTTGTAAAAGAAATAAACGTTTTTAAATAATTGTAAATGCTACAAAGGAATGCTGCCTCTAGCCTAATGTAGTGGGGTATATGACAACATAATGTTAAATAAATAATTGATTTTCTGTTCAATCATTAAGTCTCAAAGCAATGACTGTCGAATACATCAGAATTTAATTAAAATTTTGTATTTAAAAATTAGAATAGAAATATTAATGTTAACACAATTTTCTAATTTACTTTTTTGTTGCTTTGTCATATTTTGTGACAAATAATCTGTCTACAAATCAATTAAGACATTGTTATTAGAAATATTAAACCTAAAGATGTTTTACAGCAATGAATTACAATTTTAAAATGATAAAATGAAAATAAGAATATAATAAGAAAATAAGAAGCAAAAGAGGAAGTAATTCTTTATGCTGTTAAGAATTAAAAACTCCTACCTTATTTAGTTTTATAAACACACAAGGGCTTGATAAATGGTAATTGAAGTTGTTTTCTGCAGTACATGGATACCAATTTTTCACATCAACGTCACATACCTGCCCTTTTCCAGGAGGTCTATCATAGTCACAATTGTAAATATTCTGTCCTCTACCAGGTGTAAGACCAGGTTTCCTATAAACTAAGTCATAAAATTATTTTGAAAATCTTTAAATATAATTAAACATATTAAATATGTGTATATGGATGGACATAAACAACATTTGGACTACTAGAATCACAAGGATTCCTTTGTCATTCCTAAATGATTGCATCCTACAAAAATACTACAGGATTCCAAGTATTGTGATGTCCTGAATGGAGCCAACATTTCAACAGACAAGTTTCTCTGATATAGGGAAGACTATTTCAAATTACTTCAAATATCATAATTATAATAATCTATTTATATATGCACTTAACAAAACTCAGGATAATAGATTTAGCATGTAAATATTTAAAGATAATTTATTTGATAAAATAACTCAGAAATTGTATGCAATGAATAGAGAATGAATAAAACGATTAAAAATTGTAAATGATAAAACACAATCATAAAATCTTGCTATTATAATATTTTAAAGTGTATCTCAGCTTTATTTTACTAAAATAGAATAATTGTTATCAATGGATTAATGTGATAAGAGACAAAGTTAGATAAAACAATACAATACAATTTTTTTATGAAAATCCAAAAGGAATATGTATATAAAATTATAGTGAATGAAAATTAGGATAAATGGAGCATAAACCTGGACCAAAAAGGGTGAACTTAAAAAGAAACTCCAGCAAACAGAAATGAATTACTGGTGAACATCAGAAAAATGATCCAAAATGGAAACATTAAGAAATAAAAAAAATTGAGAAAAGATTGGAGTTAAAGAAATTTTCTTGAAGAGCTAAAAAAAAATCCCTTAGATGGTATGGACATTTAAAAAGAATGTCTGAAAAAAGATTGCTAATGGAGATTTACTTTTGGAAAATTGACGATAGAAGACAAGGAAAGCAGTCTAGAAATACATGGAATGTACAAAGTTAAGATTCTTTAATAGGAAATAGTTTGCAAGAGGAATGTATCCGGGACAGAAAAATATAAAAGGAGACCTTAGAAAATTCATAGTTTAAGGAAACTCATTATTTTATGGAAAAATTCTAAATAAAAATAAAAATAAAATAAAAAAAGGTTCAACTAATCCAAATAATGGATGGAAAACTTTTGGAAACTCCAGTTAATAAACTAGAGGAGTATAAAAATATTTCAATTTAATGATTTAGTTAATGTCTTAGATGTAATAATATAGCTATTTTTTATCAACTTTTAAATGTGAGGTTTTCAAAATGTAAATTTCCATGTTTAAAGAGTTTTGGAAGCTCATTTATTTTTAGAAAAATATCAATTTCTGTTTATAGAATATAAAGGAAATTCTGCATTTTATTTCTCTGAAAAACAACTTTGGATATGTAGCATCTTAAAATGGATCTCCTCATACATAAATAGATTCAAATATAATTTCAGTAATATATATAATTGTATTAATAACATTATAAACTTGACGCAAAAAGTCTTCAATTAAAAAATTAATTATGTTGAAAAAAGTTGTTTATAGAATATTAAATAATACCTTCTAAGAATTTTTCCAATGTATCTGTCCACAGTTTACATGATTGTCTACTTTTACCTTGATACCAGATCAGAGAACTTCTAGTGTCACTATCATTTGGAAATGGGCGAAAACCAAGACCTAATTACATCAATAATAAAAATTATTCCTTGAAGTCAATAAATAATAATAAATATTTTATTTTTAATTTTAACCTGGATTTTGTCCTATTAAAGATTCTGTAAGTTGCCATCGTGGAATTCTAGGGTCAAGAGTATGATAGAATATCCACAACATAATGCCAAAAAGGGATGCTAGTATAGCATAAAATATTAAATAAAATAATCCAATTTTAGCTGGAAAAAATCAATAAGATAGAAGTATAAAAGCAATTCAATCAATTATTAATACTGTATTTAGCAACATGAAATAAAAAAAAAAATTAAAAAAGAAGAGAATAGTAAATATAAAAAAATTATTGCAAAGCCTCGTATAAATAAGTAATAAAAGAAACAAAATGCATGCAATTAAAAATCTAAACAGATCTTAAAGTCTATAAACTGTCTTGTTAAAAGGTCAATTAAAAAATATCTTTAAAATAAAACATACCCCAACTAGGACCAGTCCTTCCAAATATTTTTCCTTTCTTAGGATCATAGAAAAATGTTTTTAAATTCTGCCAAGTATCTAAACTAGGTGGGGGGGAATAGAACCCTGTCTCTTTTTTTTTATCTGCCATTGCTCTAAAATAAAAGAGGTATAATTAAATAAGATTAAAATATTCTTGGAATACATCAATAGTTTTTTTTTGCTTTAATATACTTTCATGAATTGTTTTAACAAAAAAAAAAATAAAAAAAATAACATCTCTTATCTCATAAATGAACACACGTAAACTAAGAATATTGATGTTATAAATTTATGACATTCATAATACAACAAGGAAATGAGATTTATAGTATTGCAATCAGGAGAAAATATAACACAAAAAATAAATAAATAACATTGTAACAATTCCATACACTTATTAAAGAGAAGTGAAAATCATCAAAGCAGGAACACTTGTGTTTACGAAAAACAATAATAATCTAAAAAATAAAAAATAACTGAGAACTATTTTTTCTAAAACATGACTAAAAGTCTCCAGAATGTTGAAGTAGAATGGCTACCTGCTAGAGTTCTATGTGTAGTGTGACTGGAACAGGAGGATTGCAGAGGTTGCATAGAGCACAGGATATTAGCAGTTAGCCCATTGAGGCCTTATTGCCATTCACACACTATATTCCTCACCAACATTGTGCTTGACCCTATTCTTCCCAGTTCTAAACAAGAAAAGAGAATGCATCTATAAGGTGAACCATATCTATTATCTAGAATGAATAATAATAAATTAGTGGTGCCACTCAACAATAAGCAACTAAAATGTATTAAACTAAAACGGTGGGTTATGTTTTCAGTAGACAGTCACAAGAACAAATATAAAAACCTAATTGAAAATTAGTGAACAACATAACCTGATCGGCACCATTGAATATGTTGCTCCTTCTTACTATACTTCTCTTTCCTATTTTTTTGTATATTTCCTTCTTTCTTTTTTCCCTTATGTTTCATGTTAACTTGTGACAATCATGACTTCATTATTTACTATGAATTTCTTGTGCTTATGTAACTTCTATAATTTTTACTTATATATTTTTATGTATCTTATTATATCTTTCAGACCTCATTCTTTCATTGATTCCTTGTTATTTACATCTTCATAATTCATATATACAAATCCTTATGCACAGAAGTAATAATTTTCATACTATAAAATACTATAATTTTTAATTTGTTTTTTGTTTCTAATCCATTGCTTCATATCCTTCTTTTTACTTCTATGCTTTTATACCTTAATGGTTGTATCTTTTATTGCTAACCTTTGATGAAACCCATAGGCCATAACTGTGGTAAATTATAAAAATAAGTTAACTCCTACTGTGTGTTTTCTTTCTTTATTGTAATCTCCTGGTACAAATGTGAACAGACAAAACTTTAGATGTCAATGATAAAAAATAACATTAATGAAATTGACATGTTGGTTTGCTTTCTAGTTATAATATCATTTTCATATAATAAAATTAATAATAGATAATTTATCATTGTAAGTATCTTCTTACTTTTGGGGTATATGGCCGATTACAATTTTTATTTAAAATATTAGATAATTGTTTTTTTAGAATTATATATTTTTTCAAAATTTATTAATGCCTACTTTGTTAAGGTAATCTGATAAAATATATTTAATCTTTTTTTTCTATATTACATACAAATTATATACTTAAAGGGATTCCTAATTTATAATAAACTTTATTCTTAATTAAAAAAAAAATGTTCTCTTCATCACTGACATCCTGCTGGAAAATTGGCATTGAACAATTGCTTTAGAGATGCTGACCCAAGGTCCTCCTCGTTTCCTAAGTGTACATTACATGCCCTGACTATAAACAGTTTGGCAGAGGCGTTTAAATTATAGCTATAATGCCTCTAATTTAGTGGACTTCCTCCATGAATCATGATTAATTTGTTCAGGAGGCTTAGGCTTAAATGAAAAAAAAAAACGTTTAAAAGATAATATTGGTATCATTTTAATGATTTTCAATTTTTATAAAAATTTAAATATAGATAAAATAATAGTGAATCTTAATAATATATGTTTTAGAAAGAAATTACAGATTGGTTTTCATAAAATGGGATCATAATTACTTAACTTATAGTACATTTATTCTTAAATTTCGATTACATCAATTATGAAGAGGTAGATTAAATATACTCATCAAATGTTTACATATGGTTCAATTCACAGAGGTAGATATATTATATCAGTATATATAATCCTCAAAATTAAAATAAATTGAATACAAGTAAACACACCTAGTCAAGAAATATATTTAAAACAGGTTTTGAAATCGATAATTAAAACAATAAAAATAAAAATAAAATCTAATTAAAATTAAGAGCGATTTTTATTTTTGATCATAAACGATAAAAATCATATCCTATTCATTATTTTTGAATATAAGTTTTACAATTAACAATAATAATTTTTGAATAACACTTTTTAAAATCAAAAATATAATTTTTTTGTCATCGCTATGATATATTTTGAGTCTGGAGTAGTAGGTGGAGAATATTGTTGTCAAATATTACCAACAGAACATCTTTATTTCTGAAAATTCATTAGAAATTTTAGCTTACAAAAATAATATATTAAATATGTTGGTCTATTTAGTGCAGGTACCGCATGTACAATTAAAGAAATTTCAGAAATTTAATATTAAAACATGTCTACATTAACAAAGTATAAACCATTGGATGAGAATTTGCAAAGCTTTAATTTATCTGTTTAGTATCAATGAAACAATATAATTTCATTTTCATCTATTTTTAAATTGTATTCTCATCACACAATTTTCATGTAAGTGGAAGTAAATTTGACAAATAGTACAATATATAATTTAAAACAATTAATTATAATATATTTTCTAATAATTATTTTAAATTTTTTTTTCTTTGCCGAGATTTTGGCATTTCCTTTCTCATTCGCTTAATGTATTTTTCCAATTTTTGGGTTCAATTTTGCGTTTTCCCTCATTTTGAGACCAAATCCTAACAATCAGTACCGGTTACTAGAAGAACTTATAGTTTCGCCTTTTCCATCTTTATTTGTACAGAGGGAATAATGTATTCAATATTAAAATTTCCTATTTTTTTATGATATGGTCCAACTTCCAAACAATTTATTCCGCAATTTCATAACAATAAGTTTTACAAAACAACCCGGCAACTATTCATTATATGTAGTTCAGATTAGGTATATATTATTTTAGTTTATAAAACTGATATTGATATAATTCATTTCCTGGAAAGTATATACAATTTAAATAACCTCTAAGAATCAGTAAATGTACAAAGCAAAGTGTTAAATTGCAAACCTTAAATAAAAAAATAATGATATTCAGCAAAGTATTTTTAAATTAAGTTTTATAATTATAATTATATCATTTTTACAATAGATGTCTACTTAAACGACCTCCGTATAAAATAAAGTAAGTTAAATAAAAAATAAAATAAAATAATAAAACTAAAAAAAAAATTGTTTAATTTTTTTTACAATTAAATGATTGCATTAATATTTGTTCGTTAATAAAACCAATATAATCTACCAGAAACGTTATTATATCACTATAACTAAGCCATTCATGTGTATAGAATGGTGTGTTAGATGCTTGTTGGCACCTACGCCGGCGCCGCTTTTCTCCTGCATAAGTGCATTTTCTACGGAACTGCTCCAAATATTTTAAAAAGTGATCAGTGTTTTAGAAAGAGAAATATATTCTACAGATGTTTTAGTTCAGCATATTGTGCGTAATTGTTGGCCGTTTAATTACAAACGACGCTTTATTTTCAACTTGAAAATGTTTGACTTTACTGGTGTTTTTTATTGCCTAAGCCAATTATTTTTCAATATTCTTTCATGTTTTTTATTTCCTGAATATCGAGCTTTAATAAAAGACCAATCATGAGGAAATTAAGCCAAGTGCTGATTCTCAGTGACCAAAAAACTAACTAAAGTCAAAGTCGTCAATCCGCCATCTTTAGACGCCATTTTGGGACAGTGGTTTCATTTTTTTTTGTGGGAACATTGGCTTTTTTTTAATAAATAGTTACAAGGAACACAACGATACGCAATTTTAGGAATGTGGAAGGAGGGGAAGGTGTGCGCGATAGGGAGATCTGGCCCGCTGTGTAATATTGCCTACATCTCTCGACTGTTAATTTGTACCATCCACTCCACCACTTTCTACCTATACCCACAGGTAGACTCCTAGTATCCTCTCTCATCTTTCTCCACCTTGATTACGGCTGCGTGTTGTACGGTGGCCTCTCGATGGATCTCGGGGACAAACTAATAAGAATTATGAATAGCTTAGTAAGATTTGTCGAAGAAATCCCGAGGCGTTCCCCTGTTGCCCACAACCAGTTAGGATGGCTCTTCTCCTCCTTCAGAAGACAATACTTTCTTGGCACATTCTTTTACCAAATAATCAACAATATTCGCCCGTCCTATGTATACAATCTCCTCCAATTTAAATCATCTATACACTCCCACTCCACAAGATCTCGTCCTTCTGGCCTTTACACCCCCTTCCATACATCTGTTTCATTTTAACATTCCTTTATTGTCCGCTCCTCCAACTTTTGGAATTCCATCCAACTTAAAATCCCCCATGCACCAACCTTATCCACATTCAAAACCCTCTTATTCCAATTCCTCTTCACAATCCAATCAGACGCTGGTTAATTATGTAACAAGGATGATTTTTTATATTTTTTCCTTTTCATACACCATTATTTTATTTTATTTTTTGTTTATTAGTTATGAACTGGAAAGATTCAGTACCACTTTTGGCATATCACTGTGATTCATAAAAAAATAAGAGATTGTTATTTTTATCCATTTATTTCTATCTACAAAGTTATATATATTTTAAATGTATTTCATTTTTCACATCCCTCAATTTGTATACATATATATCTTTTCCTATCTTAATCTCCGTATTTGTTTATAGTTTACTATTCCATTGCGTATTGTATAACATATATAATTAATTAATTTTCTTTTAATTAGTTCTTTTTTTTTTCTTTTTGTTTTCTCATAAAATTAATTTAAGGCCCTTTCCTAATTGTATTTATCTATTTATTCTTATTTTATATTTCTTATGCCGGGATAATGCAATATTGTAATCCCGTTGCTCATCTTCTGTCATTAATATGTCTTTACGAGGTATATATTCTGTATGTTTTAGCGGTTTACGTTTTAACATGAAAAGTTAAATACTTTTTATTTACGTATTTTTGATATTTTTTCTTTTCTAGAGGTTTTGCTTTTTCTTTATATACATGAAATTCTTTTTTTTTTTGTTTTTCCAGTACAATTATAAGTATAGGTGAGAAGATTTTATTTTATTTTTTAGTTATTTACATACAATTATTTAAGTTGTTGTATATATTGTTTTAATCTTTATTAAGTTAGTTTTTGGCCAGATTTGTATTTTTTATTTTGTAACTGTTCATTATTGTTATTCTAAGCTGATATCGCTCTAGAATAAAGCTTATTTTCTATTTCTATTTCTATGTAATATATAGTAAGGCTAAGTATTGGGATCATGAAAATTATATATGTGTGCACAGCACCGCACATTCTTTCTCAACCTGACCAAGATACAAACGACAAAATAATTACTTAATTAATATAGTTCGCGTCCCGGTGCCTGGAGGTCTCTTAACTCCTCAATTAATTAATTAATTCCTCGGCCTCAGCCCTTGGCTCGGGAAAACCCCCTATAGCCTAAAAGGCAAGGGAGGGAAAAACAAAATAATAATAATAATAATATCATCATCTACAATTTCTCCCCCCCAGAATTCAGTATTCCCTACATCTTGGAAAAAAGCCATTGTCCTTCCTTTAAATAAATATTCTAATCCTACCTAGCCCCAAGATTTCCGCCCAATCTCAATTCTTCCCAACCTCTCAAAACTCCTACAAAGATTGGTGCAATCCCAAGTCTCTAACTTCCTTGAAAAGTCCAACCAACTTGATCCTCTCCAATCTGGTTTTCGTCCCAGCTACTCCACACAATCCGCCTTAATTAAAATCACCAGCGACATTCAAACTGCAATAGATGATAAAAAGTTAACTATCCTTATCCTTCTCGACTTCTCCAAAGCCTTCGATTCCATTAACCATTCCATACTTTTCAACAAACTGAAATTATTATCCTTCTCCAATCGTTCCATCTCTTGGTTTTAATCTTTTCTTTTGCAACGTACCCAAGCAGTCTCCATACCCAACCAACCACTGCCTTCCTTTCTTTAATCTCTGGAGTTGCTCAGGGTTCAAGCATATCTCCTCTCCTTTTCAGCTCCTACATTAACGACCTACCTAAATCAATTCTCCATTGTTCCCATCACCTTTATGCAGACGATTCACAGATGTACTGAGAGTGAACTAATCTTTCTAGAGGCTTGGCTAAATTGGATAAAATGGAGATGGGGCTGAAGTCGTATATTAGTGAAGGAGCTGGGACTTTCTTCAACGGTCGGACAATGAGTTTTTTCCAGGCTTTTGGAAAAATGGAATTTTGGAGGGAAAATTTTTAGATGTTTAGGAGTATAGGCAGTAAGTTTAGTTACATACGCATATATAGTTGGATTTTTTTGGGGAGGGGAAGAGAGGAGGGTCGCCTGAGATATGCGAATAACCCAGTAACGTGGCTCTACCTATCTCACAGGTGTCAGTATTTTATTGCGGCCTTCTTAAATTAGGGTATCAGTGGGCGGGGTGGCCGAATGGGCTAACGTGTGTGCCCAGCACTGCCGTTACCCATCAAGCTGATTATGAGGCAATGATAAAATATAGACCCGAGTTCGCGTCCTGGTGCCGGGAGAGTCTTTTAAATCCCCGCTCACACTCCTTGGCCCCGTATAGCCTTAAAGGCGAGGAAGGGGAGGACCAAAAAAGAAAAAAAAATAGGGTATCAAAACTAAGTTCCCATCCTAAATACAACAGAGCCTGCAATTTATAACATCCATCAAATCCCGATCTCGTACTTCTGACTTCTACCCTCCTCCCGTACTGCTGCGTTTGACAAATCATCCCTACCCCGAGCTGCTTCCTGAACTCAATGCCACCTATTATTCGCCATACTTCAACGATTCCATCATTAAAATCTCTTTTCTTCAACCACATTTTCCTCGCCCAGTATAAATAATATTATTATATACTAAATCACTTTTCCGATATTTTCAAAGTGTTCTAAAGTTCATTTTAGTGCTAATTTCCACATAGTTTTTATAATTATCTTTATTATTCTCGCACTTGTGGATTCGAAGCTAAGGGTGCAGGACAAGTACAACGACCTACATGTACAATTTTTTTTTCATATATTTTATTACACAGCTCTGTACTTATGCAATTAGGTCCGTTTGACACCAGCTCGGTTGAGTCTCGAGGGACCTAGCGGCGAATCGGGACGGGAGTCCAGGTACATTAGTATGACCGGGTGGTGTGATTTGTTATATAGAAAATTTAATGTTTTTTTTTTAATGTGATCAGGAGAAGGAAGTGATCTTTTTTGTTGTGGGATTAGATGACAGGAGTTTATTATTGTAAATATAGTTTTTGCAGTGGAGACCTTAATACTAAATTTAGTGTTCCTCGGTCATAGGGGGAAAAGTCATTTGGAAAAACTCCATTTTACATAAAGATTTACGTACAGTTAGAGTATTTCGGAAAATGAGTGCTAAAAAAGTAGACGTAGAGACACCGGGAGTAGATGGTCTGGAAGAGGGTCCTTCAAAACCATTAGAGGCAGTGCTTGGGATTCTTAACGTGACCGGCACAGGCGATCTATGGCGGGAGGGATTTTCGGACTGAAGCACTCCCCTTCCAAAACGGCAAAATATAACCACGTTTTATAGAACAAAATATTAAAAACTATCTCTTAAAGTATTATCGTTCGTTTAATTACATTTTATAGGACTTCAAGAATCACTTAAACACCATTTCATATAGGTAGTTAATTTAAAAAAAAATTAATTATCGTTATATATATATATATATATATATATATGAAAAAAAAAGTTTTCGGGCTGAAGCCCTCCCACACAAAATTAAATCCTGACTCCGCCAGTGATGATCTAGCACCTGAGACGAATTAAGGGCGCAGCGAAACATCAACACTGACATGGAGTAATGTAAAGACCTGGAAACAACAACAGGAGAAATTGGGACGGAAGAGGCTGGGACAAATACCAGTCCTAAACTCAAAAGAACTAAGAGATTGAGGGAGGATTACCCATCAATGTCATCCAATGAAGAGGTGGATAGTCCGTCTGATAAAGCTACTGTGGTTGCAGAAATGATTAGGGCTTACCTACAGCAAAATATGGCGAGAAAGGAACAACAAGTCATTATTAACAAGAAGGTTGTAAAACTTAAATATATTATCACAGGAATGGAGGCTAAGTGGCAAAGTGTCTCTAGCTTGGTGAGAGAAATTGTTAAAAAGTCCCTTTTTACCGAAGAATTGTGCAGTATCATAGGACTTAAGGTATCAGAGGTGGTGGCTCCTACGATAACTAAGACACTAACTGATATCATTGGAACGGAATGCGGGAAGAAATGGGTTTCTCCAACCCATAGGACAGTCAACGAAATTGGAACTTTACGACTATTTGGAATATTTACGAAAAGAGGTAGAACAGTGCCTTCAACACGTGCCGAGTGGAGGAGAAAGAAATTCCCCCCTGTCGTAGATAAACTCCCAGTGGAAGAACCATCAGTAAGACACACTACCATCAAATATCAGGGACTGGCTCCTACCCCGATACCTCAAAGGTGGAGTGCGACGACTGCGATCTGTAGTGGCAGAAACCAGGAAGGAGGTGAAGATGAGATGGAAGAGGAACCCTTCAACGCTTCAAGTTCTGAACTTTACAGTTATAATTACGGATGGGCGATAGTCGATAGGTTTCTATTATCGATAGTTCCGCTAAACAACTATCGATATTTCAGTAACTTCCCTACACAGACTGTAAGAGGATTTATTTTCGCTGTATTCTTTAGTTATTTACTTTAAAATGCTGCATAAAATAATAATTAACATTTATATTGAATAAAAACTTTTTTTTTTTTTTATATTTGTTTATTTAGAAATATTACATTCTGTCACATCAAGGACATTTATAATAGTGTTCAGAGAAAGCACACTCACACTCTATTTACAATAAAAAAAAAAATAATACAGAAACTTAATAATAATAAATACAATAAAATAAAATAAAAATAAATACAATAAAATAAAATAAATGTATATAAACAAAAGAACTAACCTAATCATACACACTCGGGCTTGAGTGGAGGATCTGGCCATTGCCAAAACTCCAATAGATGCTTATTTACAAAAGGTCTCTGGGCCACTGCCGCTTCAACCTTCGAGGAGGATTGTAAGGATGGGTGGTGCTGGATAGAGATTGTGCAAGGGGATTTGGATGATAGGTAAGGTTCTGGTGAAATTTGGAGAATTTTTCTGGAATAAGGTCTAGGACAAATGGGATATTAAGGTCATGGTGTAGGATTTTGTTATTTACATAGAACGGAGCATCAACTATTGTTCGAAGGACTTTAGATTGAAAGGATTGAATACGTTTGATGTTAGAAGCTTTTGCTGTCCCCCACAGTTCAAGTCCGTATGTCCATATAGGTTTCAGTATTGTCTTGTAGATAAGTAATTTGTTTTCAATAGAAAGTTTGGATTTTCTGTTTAGTAGTCTGTATAGCTGGCCGTATCGTCGGTTGAGTTCTTGTCTTTTGAGTCTAGTATGTGGGTTCCACGTTAGTCTTCGGTCTAAATGAAAGCCAAGATACCGGACTGTGTCTGAGTAAGGAAGCTGGATGGAATTAAAGTGTACTGGTGGACAGGAACTGCGTCGGAGTGTAAAGGTAATATGTTGGCATTTAGATTCATTAACTTTAATGCGCCAGTTATTACACCAGTGCTCAATCAAGGTGAGGTGGTTTTGGAGATTTAAGGATGCTATGTTGGGATCTGAGTCGGATGATAGAATGGCGGTGTCATCAGCAAAAGTTGCCAGGAAGGTATCGGGATGGACAGGGATATCGGCGGTAAAGAGGATGTAAAGGACGGGACCCAATACGCTACCTTGAGGAACACCTGCCTCAATTGGATAGCAATGCGAAAATTCAGTACCGCAACGAACTCGGAAGGTACGATCTGAGAGGTAGGAACGGAGAACAAGGTACAAGGACTGAGGAAGATAGTTTTTCAGCTTGGAAAGAAGCCCGGCGTGCCATACCCGGTCGAAAGCTTGAGCTATGTCCAGAAATGCACCCGAGCAATATTGCTTGCTTTCCAATGCTGCGGAAATATGATCAACCACTCGGAGTCCTTGTTGGACTGTAGAGTGTTGTGAACGAAATCCGAACTGATGGGAAGGAAGAGTTTGGGATTCTATAAAGGGTAGGATGCGTTTCAGGAGGATCTTTTCAAAGATTTTTGAGAGAATCGGAAGAAGGCTAATTGGTCTGTAGGACGTTGAGGTGTTGGGAGGTTTGCCTGGTTTCGGAAACAGGATAATAGTGGAATGTTTCCACAAAAGAGGAAAGTGGGTGGTTCGTAGGATGCTATTGTATATGTATGTAAGGAATATGACAGCTTTAGGAGGGAGTTGTCTAAGGATCTGAGAGGTAAGGAGGTCGTATCCAGGTGATTTACGGGTAGGTAGTTTTTGTAAGAGGAATTTGACCTCAGAAGGATTAACTGCTTTAGGCGGTAAGGAGAGTGGGATGGGTGAATTAAGGAATTCCTCTACTGCTGACGTGTGGGTGGGATTGGATTCTGGATGAGAGGTGAATGTAAGGGAAAGGTGTTTGGCGAATTCTTCGGCTCTATCTTCGTCAGATGCTGCCCAAGAGCCATCACCTCGACGGAGAGGATGTGATATATGATGGGGTTTTAGGATATGTTTGGTGGTCTTCCATAGGGAATTGTCATGAGAAGAGAGGGAAGTGAGGTAGGAGTTGAAGGATTGGGATCTGAAGGTGGCCAATTCTATCTTTAGTTTTTTGCAAAAATAATTATAGGATTGGCGATCGGTGGGGTGTCTAGTACGTTGCCATAATAATCTGGCACGGCGTTTGGTATGGATTAGGTCTATGAGGTGTTGAGGTAACTTATTTTTCTTAGGAGTTCTTGAGGAGTGGTTTGGAGAGGAAGCAGTCCAGATTGCTTGTTGGATAGTGGTGGTAAAAAAGTGTACGGTATTGTCAAGGTCATCTGGGGTTTTCAGGGTCATTCTGAGGTCAATTTTATCGGTAAGGATTTGGTGAAAGAGTTTCCAGTTAACTGGGCCTCTGATGAAGGACGGTGGAGAAGACTTAGGAATAGGAGCTAGAGATAATTGGAGTAATAATGGACTATGATCTGAGGATAGTTCGGCAAGAGGGGTAAGGGAATGATTGAGGGGACCTAAGCCACTGTGGATGAAAAAATCAAGGATATCGGGATTGCGGTTAGGATCTGTGGGCCAGTAGGTAGGTGAGTTGGGTGGAAGGAGACTGAAACGTTGGGTATTGAGTGCAGACAGAAATGTTCTGCCACGAGAATTCGTGGTTCTTGAACCCCAAACTTGATGCTTGGCATTTAAGTCTGCACCCAGGATGAAATGATGACCTAAGGAGTTGAGGAGAGAACTGAACTGGACTTTGGATATGGATCTGTTAGGAGGGCAATATGCTGATGCAAGGGTGACTGGAAAGGAGAAGGCTTTGATTACAATAGCGGTTGACTGTAGGAAATCTTGAGTAGGTAATGGGAGTAAGTGATGGGAGAGGGATTGGTGTACGATGACAGCAGTGCCGGCATGTGCTCTGCCATCAGGGTGGTCAGTACGGTATGTTAAATACTGTGGGATTTTTAAATGCTGTTTTATGGTCAGTCGAGTTTCTGTAATTAGGGCTACGTCAATGTTCTTGTCTTGTAGTAAAGCTGTTAGTTCGTCAACGTGATTTCTAACACCATTCGCATTCCAAAGGAGAATGGACATGGGTTTTGGGATGTGGGTCATTAAGGATTTTTCAAAGGAGGGATGAGGTGAGATACGAGATTTGTAAGGAGTGATATGAGTGGAGTGACTAGGGATTTGAAATCGGTTAGGAAAGATGCTAACAAACTAGTGAGATCTGTTGCATTTGAAGGAGGAGGAATATGAGGAATTTGAGGTTGTTGATGATTATGTGTGTTAGGATGAACAGAATATTGAGATTGGGGCTGAGGTAGTTGCTGCGGCAGGGCTTCACATGTATTATTGGGGTTCTTACCTCCAAGTAGTTCGGAGTATGATAAATTATTGTTAACAATTCTAGAAGGTTCTCTTCTTGGTCTGGTTGTCTCATCTTGAATCCGGTTCTTCTGGTATCTGGATTTGAGACTCTTATAGGTTTGGCAGCCTTTGTAGTTGGCCGGGTGTCCCTCCTGGCATAGTGCACACACTGCAGGATCTTGTATTGGTTTGGTGCACTCCACAGATTTGTGCTGTTCACCGCATTTCACGCAACGCGGCAGATGGTGACAATAAGTTTTCGTGTGGCCATACGCCTGGCAATTGTGGCACTGCACAATTTCCTTCTTGGGGTATGGCTTCTCTATCTTCACGATAGTGTAGTACAATCTCTTGATATCATATATTTTTTCAATGTCAGGTGATGGCTCTAGATCCACGAAAAATAAAGGTAGTGAAACTTTATTACTCACTCCTGGCTGCTCCTTATTCTCCTTCAGAACGTTGGTTACCTGACGCACTTTGAAACCAAGCGTCGCTAGTTCTTCTTTTATCACTTCAGTTGGGGTTGAGGAGTGTAAATTTCTTAGGATAAAAAAAAACTAAAAAAATCCTTGGAAGTTCCTCCCGGCTAAGTCCGATGGACTCGCTGACCAACAATGGGGGGAGCTCTCCAGACTTGCTTGAGGGTGGGGACCTCCAGACTTGCTGGAGAGTGGGGACCTCCAGACTTGCTGGAGGTAGGGGCCCACCAGACTTGCTGGAGGGTGTGACGTAGGATTCGAACGCCCTACTCACATATCTTTAGTTCACCAAACACCACAAATAGTTATGGATCTCCCTAAGGTAAAACGCTCATTATCCGGAGGTAAACTAGTCCCCCGTTCGGGTCTCCGGGTGGGGACTGCTTTAGGAGGATTCATGGCGCAAGTTGAAATATAGGGATTTAAATATTGGTACGTGGAACGTAAGGAGTTTAAACACAGCAGGGGGCTAAAATCGGTCGCGAATGAGGTAAATGGGTACAATTTGGATGTCGTGGCTCTGCAAGAGGTTCGCTGGCCAGGGGAGGGCTCGATGAGGGAAGGAAAGTACACTATTTGGTACGGAGGAAGCGGGAATCATTGTTTAGGTACCGGGTTTCTAATTAGGAGTAGATTACTATCCGCTTTGAGGGACGTACAATTCTTTAGTGATAGAATTTCGGTAGCTACATTTCAGGGACGTTGGTTTAAAATCGCATTAATAAACATACATTGTCCGACCGAAGACAGTGACGATGAAGTCAAAAGTGAATTTTACGATAAACTCGAATGGGTTTATGATAAACTACCGCGAAACTACATGAAAATAATTGTAGGTGACGCGAACGCAAAGGTAGGAAGGGAAGAAGTTTATATTCCGACGATTGGTAAAGAAAGTTTGCACGAATATAGTAATGATAATGGGATCCGTCTGATAAACTTTGCCATCTCGAAAAACCTGATAATTAAAAGTACGACGTTTAAACATAAGGATATTCATAAATATACTTGGACATCACCGGATTCGCAAACACGAAATCAAATCGATCATGTCTTGATACA